CTAACAAGTAAATTCAGCAGGAGTTGTTTTCAAGCAAAACGAAAATCTTAAGGAGTGAATCCAGCAGGAACTTACTGCTGAAGAGAAAAAAACACTAGAGAGTGAATTCAGCAGGATTCGCAAGCAACATGAAAATCCTAAGGAGTGAATCCAGCAGGAACCTATGACCGAAGAGCAAAGCACTAAAGAGTGGATCCAAGAAGAACCTTCAACCGAAGACGAAAACTTTAAGGAGTGATTCCAGCAGGAGCCTTTGACCGAAGAGGGAAAGCCTAAGGAGCGAATCCAGCAGGAACTCGTTATCGAAGAAGAAGACCCTGAGGACTGAATCCAGCAGAATTTGTTTGTAAGCAAAGCGAAAATAACAAGCAGTGAACCCAGCAGGAACCTTTTATCGAAGACGAAAACCCTAAGCAGCGAATCTACCAGAATTTGTATTCAAGCAAAACGAAAATCCTAACGGGTGAATCCAGCAGGAACCTCTTACCGAAGAGTTGCCCAACACGAAGACCCTCTAGAGTCGATCCACGAAAACCGTGAGGAGTGAATCCAGCATGAACCTTTGTGGTGAATCCAAGTAAAACCTTTCCCGAATACGAAGACCTTAGGGAGCGATTCCGGCAAGGCCCTATTCCCGAAGATTCAAAAACCCTGAAGACTGAATCCAGCAAAAACCTTTTACGGAAGACGAAAACCATAAAGAGTGAATCCAGCAGGAACCTTTTACCGAAGAGGAAAACCATAAGGAGTGAATCCAGCAGGATCAAGGAGTGAATCTAGCGGGAACCTATTCCCGAAGACTCAAAAACCTTACGGAGTGAAGCAGGCACGAACCTTTTACCGAAAAAGAAAGCCTAAAGAGTGAATCCAGCAGAAACCTTTTACCGAAGACGAAATCCCTAAGAAGTGAATCTAGCAGGATTTGTTTTCAAGCAAAACGAAAATACCAAGGAGTGAATCCAGCAGGAACCTATTACCGAAGAGCAAACCCTAAAGAGTGGATCCATGAAGAGCCGTGATTCCAACAGGAGCTTTGCCCAAGACCAAGAGCCTGTAGAGTCCATGAAAACCGTAAGGAGTGAAACCAGCAGCATTAACCTTTTAATGAAGATGAAACCCTACGTGGTGAATCCAACAAGAACCTTTCACCGAAGACCTTAAGGAGTGAATCCAGCAGGAACCCTGAGGAAGGAACCCAGCGGTATTTGTATTTGTTTTTGCGCAAAACGAAAACTAGAGGGGTGATTCCAACAGTACTTTTTGGCCCAAGACGCAGCGGCTATAGAGTGGATCCGGGAAAACCTTAAGGAGTGAATCCAGCATGAATTTTTGATTGAAGATTAAACCCTAAGGGGTGAACCCAAGAACATTTCCCGAAGACGAAGACCTTAGGGAGTGAATCCAGCAGGAACCCATTACCGAAGACAGAAACCTCAAGGAGTGCATCCAGCAGGAACCGTTGACCGAGGAGGAGGACCATGAGGGGGCGAAGCCCGAAGCTCATTTGGAGGGTTGCGGCTTCAGTTCCGTCGCGCATAGAATTGGGCAAAAGCTTTTCCGATCAGCAGAGCAATACCTCCTGCAGCTAAAGCCTTGGGGTGAGAAGCATTGTAAGCAAGAGGTTTCAGTGGGCGACCCCTCCCGAGCCCAGCAGAAAGAAGAGCGGGGAGACAAAAATTGAGTGAAGGCGCGATGTATGCGTTACATATCACCAGCTGAGCTGTGGAGGAGACCAAAGGATGTTTGTGGACCCTAGACTCTAGTTCAATTAGCTTGAAAACATTGCAGCAATCAGGATTGATTGTATGCAAGCCTCGCACCAATCTTCGCTTGCATTCCTGTGGGTTGCCTTGGTACCGCGGCTTGGGGGAGGGAAAGAGGGACGCCAACCTGTGCCAGCAGCAAGGCGCCCGCAGATTTTGCTTTGACTGAACCCTGAGCTTGAACTCTCCGCTTCTGCCGTGCAGGCCCTTCGCTCCTTCGGTTGGGCGCGCGCGCTGGAGCGCTTGCAGGTTTGGAGGGCCTGTTGGTATTTGCTTTGTTCCCTGTAGGGTTGCCTCGCTGCCAACCCGACCCGATACCCCGAACCCCAGATCTTGAGCTCAGCGCACCCCGTTTAGTGGCCCATCCTCTCTTGACAGCATCCTATGAATTGGACTAAACCCAGCGCCAAGTTCATTCAATCACTTGCACCCTCTTCTTGGGAGCTATGACCCTAAACTTAAACCACGAACTCTCAGCATCCCGCGCAGCCCAGTCGCTCGTTAGGAATCAAGAGTGTCGGGCTAAATGCGGGTCTACTTTTTAGCTGGCTTTAGATGTCCTCATGAGCCTCAGCGGGTGTACTTCTACCTCCTGCGAAGCATGCATGAACCTTCAAGTTTACCTCAAACCACCTAACAGCTGTGCGACCCTGTAAAGTTTTCAGCTTTCGAAAGCCCAGAAGTATGTCCTCGCAGTGCACAGGAGCTCCGTGCATCCAAGAACATCCATGGAGCTGCTGGGCGAGAAGGCATCGGCAGGAGAGTCGAAGCTCATCCTCGTTCCCAAGACAGGCCAGGCCACTGTCTGTTTGCCATTGTTCGATTCCTAGCCGAACCTTTCTCAGACAGGTCAGAATGTTGCCCTTGCAGACGGTGCCCTCGCCGATGTGTCTGTGAAGTTCAACAGAGCCTCGGCCACCGTGGACCGACGTTGCCACAAGTGAACTGATTCGTCATAACGTTAACAATGCACGGAAACGCATGTAACACAGCATTGAGAAGTGGAAGCGTGTGCTTGGTTTGCGGCTTCCATCGCTGGCTCTTGAGGCACCGAGCTTTTAGGATTCAAAGCTCGAACCAAGACGGAGTACCGGTAGTGGTGGTAGTAGTAGTTGTCGTAGTAGTAGTAGTAGTAGTAGTAGTAGTAGTAGTAGTCGTAGTGGTAGTGGTAGTGGTAGTGGTAGTGGTAGTGGTAGTGGTAGTGGCAGTGGCAGTGGCAGTGGCAGTGGCAGTGGCAGTGGCAGTGGCAGTGGCAGTGGCAGTGGCAGTGGCAGTGGCAGTGGTGGTGGCAGTGGTAGTGGTAGTAGTAGTGTGAGTGTGAGTGTCAGTGTGAGCGTGAGTGTGAGTAGGAGTAGGAGTACGAGTAAGGTAGCAGCAGCAGGAGGAGGAGTAGTCGTGGTAGCAGTCGTGGTAGTAATGGTGGTAGTAGTAGTCAGCGCAGTGGCAGTGGTCGTGGTAGTGCTAGTTGCAGTCGTAGTCGTAGTCGTAGTAGTAGTAGTCGTCGTCGTCGTCGTCGTCGTCGTGGTAGTAGCCGTAGTAGTAGAACCGTAGCAAAAGCAGTAGGCAACAGCCGCAGTCGAAGCCAAAGCTGTAGCAGCAGCAGTAGGCAGTAGCAGTAGTAGCACGCAGCAGAAAAAGACAGATACAGCTCAGCCCGCATCTGAGGCGCGCTGCCTGGGGGACTAGCCTTTTGGCTGGAGGCCAGAGTTTCGCAGCCAGAGCGGGCGACAGAGTTTCTCAGAGCGTGAATGTTGCTTTCAGAAACCAATTCAGGTGGACGGCAGCCCATCCACGCCGATGAGCTGCTTTGAAAAGGTCCATTGCTGGTTGTAAGCAGCACGAACGACTGCATTCAGAAACGGCACCTGGTGCAGGTTCCCACAGAGCCCTACGTCTGGCACGGTGTGCCCGAAGGCCGATTTTACCTCAGCAGCCTTAGCACCGAAGTTCCCTGGATTGCAGCCAGGTAACCATTTCATCCGAGCAGTGCCGGGCACAAGAGAATCAGCTGTGTCAACATTGCATGTGTCATTGCGGTAGGTGAGCCGAAACACGTCGAAGCAGCACGATGGAGCACAGGTGCTTTGGAAGACAAGAGATTCCTCGATGCAGCCCAAATCCAAAGAGGCAAGGCAGCAAAGAGGCAGTCAGAGTCAGGTGATCCTTGCTGGGCAAAGCCTGAGGACCTCGAAGGCGCTGCCAGTCCCTTTGAAGTCACACACAGGGAGAAGGTGGATTTCTTTGTGCACCGATCTGAAGATTTCAATCCAAGCTACGACTGGCGGAAAGTTGACCCTTGGCATCGCCTTCCGGAAGGCAGCGTGGTCGCTGCGCTGAGGCAACATAGGGAATATTCGCCCGGATGGACAGGTCTTGAGATCTCGATGAACTTGCAAGAAGGGGGTAGCCAAGCACGGATCCCACAGCCCTGGCACTGGGAGCCTCGAGTGGTTGGCCAGGAGGCGGCTTAGAACATCTCAAGTTGGCATCTCGAGGTCACGTCTCGTTTCTGCGCAAGGAGAGGCAACGTGTCGCGGTCAATGCCGACACGAGGATGTCCGACATCCTCCAAAGTCTAGGACTCTCCGACTCTACGCACGAAGTGGTCTGATGCTCAAGCTTTTGAAGCAAGCTGATTTGTAGAAGGTGCCGTGCGCCGTGAGTCTAAGGTGTGGTGTCAGGAGTCTGGCAAGCACGAGCGCGTGCTGCAGTCGAGCTGGACAGCTTCTCAGGCGCTGCCAACCACGGTGCTTCAGACCAGAATCGTATCGAATGCTCCATGTGCAGGCTGACCTCTTCAGATATCAGAAGCAGATCGTGGTCCGCAGATTTGCTACCCTCGTTGACTGATGCGTCCGAGCGAATCGCCTGAAGCATGCCGCGCAGCCTCCCCACATCTCTCACCACTTTGGAAGATGCTGTCCGCATCCACAAGCACTGCATTCACGGGGGCCCCGAACAGAAGCAATAAGGAGAAGGCTCTTACAGAGCTTCTCCGGTCCGTGCTCCCCCGTGCTCCAGCTCTGCCAGTTGGGGTCTGATGAGTCTTTCGCCGTCGGACCTTCGCGAGCGCTGAAAAGCATCCAGCATGAGAATGGTGTTGTTTTAGAAGCTACAGCTGCAGAGCTCCTGAGAACATGTCCTGTCATGTTGTGTGGTTGTCAACACGTCCGATTACAGCCTGACCTGTGGCTCAGACAGGGCTGAGAGAGGGAGGAAGATAGCGTGCGCTGCTCCATGGCTGTTTCAGAACTTGAGCGACTGGAGGCAGTTAACCAGATGGGAAAGCGGATAGGTGGCTTTGACACTTTCAGAATCGTTTGTGATGGTGGCTAGTGGTGCTTCTCAGTCGGGGGTTGCTGCAGTGTGAGCCCAGGCGACGTGACAGCTACAGGGAAACCCGACATAGACGAGCTTGGCGACTTTGACTTCTCTGCGCTGCCACCACCATGCAAGCCCGACATAGACCTGGTAGACCTTTGTTTGTACCCGGTTGACATGCCCCTTGAAGTCGAGGGAGAGAGCGAGCAGGAGGAGTTCGAGTCGTTTAGTTGGGCCGCAGACCTGCGCACTCCATCCACTTCCTCCCTGACACCACGCTTCCGGGACGTCCCTCCGGGCACACTGCTGGCTCCAGATGGCCGCGCTCACTGGATGCACGTGCTCCGGATGGACGAGTTCTGCAAGGACGGGGAATGGACGAGTAGTGGGCATATCCTGCAGGAAAGCTTCAGATTATGCACAAGCCTGTCCGCGCTCATGCAAAGCGCAGTCAGGCCTCAGCCTGGTGAGGAAGCGTAGTGATGAGGCACAGTGCTTGCTGTTTCTTCCACTTCCATATAGGACAGGTCTCCAACGACAGGGCTCACTTGAAACAATCAGAGCAAAGAACGGCGTTTCACGCTGCGTGCAATTTGCGAAGGACGTAGCCAAGTGCCCGCCGAAGTTCAAGTACTCTGTGCTCAGACGACGTCAGCGAGATCTCAAGCCTACACAGGGCCAGATGAAGAGTGCATGTGTTGCGCTCATATCAAGTATCGTTTGACCAGCTCTCTTAGCCGCCTTAGCCTAAATCTGCGAGGCTTGATCTTCCAGTTGAGTGAAAACATCTGTCGGCCGGAGGCCATGGCCGCGGCAAGGCCCGTCAGGTTTCAGCCATTAACAGGCAGTCTGGAGGACTGTTCTGAAAACGTGAGGTCCCAGGTTGGATTGGACTGGACTGTGCGTTGATTTATGTTGCCCTGTATAGCAGGTGTAGAATTAGGAAGATGCCTGATCTCCCTGATTGCATGCTCTTTGTCTAGACTCTTGGGTCAGTCCCTGGCCCACTTTTGGCAAGTTGCCACGAAGATACCGACTGCTTCCAAGTGGAGCGGCTTTGCCGAAGCGGCAGAGCGTCCAGGTATGCAGACCGGTTGTGGTGCAGCGGAGTGGAGCGGCCGCCAGAGATGCTTCAGCTCGTTTTGGCTCTCCCGCAGCCCACTCCAGCCAGACACAATTCCAGAAGGGCGTGCACGAACAAATCAGTGCTTGCAGTTGCAAACTTGTCTCCTTGTGACAATGCTGTCCATGCTGAGGCGGCGCTTTGTAACTTCCACATCTAAGCCCGGATTCCGATTGTCCGTGTAATGCGAGAGTGCTCGCACATGACAGTATTTCTCGAGCCTGTGTTCCGGGAACAGGCATGCGGCAGAGCCACTGTGAAGCACAGCGGCTACAGGGATTTTGCCGGCAGAATTGGCATGCTCTTTCGCTACATCGTTACAAGCCTTGATGCACAGCTGACATGTGGCACGACGTCGCTATTTCTCGGATTCAGCGGGTGGGCGTTGAATGGGATTCACATGGATCCCCGCAGCGCAGAGGCACTCCGCCGAAGGTCCCGTTGGGAACTCTGTGACAGGGGCTTCCTTCATATTGCTAGTGTGATTTTGCACTTGATTTGCTGCTGCTGTCGTCATGTGGCGGTGATGCGGTGAGGAGGACCATGATGATTATGATTTTGATCAGTTGATCCTGAAGATAGTGCCGATAATGATGTGCGAGATGGTCGTGGTGGCGGAGACGAGAACGCAGCATGACATGACGACTATGATGCTTACGAATACGACGACGGATACAACTCATGATGATCATGGTTGTGGTTCCGCAACGAGACTGTCGGCACGCCTACCATTGCGATCATCACCACGACCATGCCATCACCATCACGGCCACCTCCACCACCGCCGCTATGAATACGAAGAATATGCTGCGAATGACGACGCATCGACGATGAAATGATGGTGATGATGAAATGATGGTGATGATGATCCGTGTTTGCAGTCAATTGTGACTGCAATTGTGACGGTTGCGTTGGCTGATTCTGTTGGTGTTGAGCTGTGTCTCATCCCCCTGCTTAAGGGAATGTAATTGGGGGATCGGGGGTCCGGGGTCCACCGAGTAGACTCTTTCAGGGTTCGGATGCCGGATCGGAAATGCATTGACTGGTGGTTCGTTCTGGGATAGTCAGGATAGCACATGTTATTCATAACCTTTCTTAACCCGCGCAGGGGGCCTACAAGCCGATCCGACGCGTTGGGTACCCCCAATCCATTAAATTTGTGCACGGTAGCTACTCGGTACTGCTGTTTCCAAATGAGGTCCTTGCACATCCCGTGATTGGACATGTTATCAACTTTTTTTGCATCCGACAGTTACCAGAATTCCTGAAAAGCCAAACCCGCTGCACTTAAATAAAAAAAGAAAAGCCAAACCCCTAGCCCTCACCCTACCAATACATAACCCTACCCGGCAAAAAGAGGATGTCGGTCGTGTCTTGCATTTGGGAAAACTCCAAAAAGTCTCAGAGTCCAGATTCGGCCCTGGGCCTCCTATTTTCGCAAGCTCCCAGATGGGGATCTATCGTACCTAATGTGGTTTCCTTATCGTAGTAACTTAAATTAAATTCCTACCCTGGCAGGCGGCCTTTGTGCTGCAGGGGCTGTGCCCGGCGCTCAGAGGAAAGCCTCAGCCGCTCAGAGAACCAGAGGTTGTGTCTTGGGTCTTTTTGCAGCAGCGTGTAGGTTAGACCTTCTTCGGCTTGATTTTTTTATGCATCCTTCGGATGAGACCGGTTGTCTCATACGCAGGTGCAAAGGCTATCGCGGTAGTCAACGCCTCCTCAATTGACCTTTGAAAGAGGTACAGCACCAGCCTCAGCAGGAAGAGAGTGAGCTGCAACGTCTCGTGCTCGTCCTTGTCTCAGGTCCAGCGCGTTGAAAACGTTATTGGACTGGCCTCGCAACACGGCCGAGGTGCCACTAACAGAAGGGTCAGTGCAACTCCTTGGGTGCAATCGCTCTTGGAGGCCGTGACCGGCGTCCGACAGGAACGCAGGCCAGCCCGGGATATCCGGTGCAGCCTTCTGGCCGTGAGCTGTTGCACCAGGTCCGGTCCCGGCTGCCGATTGCCATGGCAGTGCGCACAGAGATCTTTCAGACACGATTGCAGTTTCGGCCCCGGCCTCCACACCTGAGCCTTGCTGAGGAATCAGGGCCTGCACAAGCATGGCCGCCAAGGACGCTCGAAACCGAAACGGTGAAAACATACATCGCTGGAAATGGGCCCGGGTTGCGCGGATGTCTGCCAGGACGCAAGGCGAGGCAAGCCCCGAGCTCAAGGCCAGAGAAGACCCGCCGGTTCGCCGGAACCAAGGGCAGCGCCCTCAGCGGCCCTAGCGATGCGGGAGGAATGCCCATCCCGAATGCATCTTCTAACAGATTCAAACACCTTGAAACCCCAACAGCCTCGCCTCGGCTCCGAGGTCACTCACCTTGAGCCATGCTTCTTCGGTGGTTTCCTCAGCTTGCAATTGGCCAGCACCGGTTCCTAGCGCAGTCAGGCACTCGTACGCAAGAAGTGGCTATCAGGAATTTGCGCCCTTGCTGTGGTTCAAGCTAGAACCTGAGGCCGAAAAGCCGATAAGCACGATCTCCTGGACCCTCCTCCAATTTCTATCGTTCAGTCAGGAAGTTCGAGTGATCGTGCCAACCCGATGCTCGGTGTGAAGCTGTCGGAACACCAACTCGAAAGCGGTAGAAGATCTTCGGTTGTCCCTGGAAAGCGCAGCTACTTCCAAGGGCAAGCTCCGGGAAGCCGGTGTGGAGCCCGGCTTCGCCGTTTCTTGCTACATCGGATTTTTGGGATCTTCGTTCTAGGCTTCTGACAGCCGTGAGAGGCAAAGTCTACAGTGTTTGTAGCAGACAGAAGCACCGACTGGACAAGACCACTTGACATGACGTCGGTGATCCAGAGCACCGCATGCAGAGAAGTAACCGGTGTCAAATCCTGCCTTGCTCAGTTCCACTGCCAGGAGCGGGTCAAGAGAGGACAAGCATCAACTCGAGCGGCCGTGGCCTCAGGCTATTAGTCTTTTGCCAGCAAGACCTGTCCTTCTGCAGGGACGAGCACCAAAAGTGGTGGCAATGGTGGTAACTCTCCAGCTCCGCCGGTTTCGGTTTCAACCGTACCTGTCCAAAAGGCCCTTGCCTCAGTCAGGCACCGAACCCCAGACATGCCCCGCTTGCATCGACATCAAGGTGCCTCGCCAGCGGAGTCCATGGAAGGTGGCCGCTTTCTGTGAAGCCCAACTCAGGGCAAAGTGCAAGCACATCACTTCACTCTAAGTCCTTTTATTCGAAGTGGGCTCGTGCCAGGTAATGCTGGCACGGATATCGAGGTGCAGCTTGGAGTCTTTCCCGGTTATATGGTATCATCATGATCAGCGGTCAGCATCTTTGTTGCGAGCAAGAAAAATCACAGGTAGAGGTAATGGCAGTCATGGTGTTCCCAGCCTGGAAGCCCTGGGAAAGAGCACCACGCGTTGGGATGTCGGTAGCGGGTCGAGGTTGCATAGTTGTGCCCGAAAACCCCGGAGAGTTGGGTTGGTTTCACAGTTGCAGGCACTGAAAATGGCGCTCTAGCGTGGAAGATATTCGCCACTGTAAACTTTTATCTCGTTTTTCAGCAAAGATGCTCTGGATGGCAGTGTAGGCTAGGACTTTAAGCCTGACCGAACCGCCAGACTATGTGGGATCCTCGTGGATCACAAGATCTTCGTTTTCGTGAGGGGCCCGGCACGGTGTTTTGAGGGTACTTCCGCAATCTGTGCATGCACTCGCACATTGCATACACCGACGCGCCTGAGGTCAGCACTCTTATCACTGTGTGGGCACTGATGGGCGCGGGGCCCGGAGATTTCGTCCTGAGGGGCTGAAGTATGCAAGTTGTGCGGGGTTTTGTCTCATGTTGCAATTTGTGTAGGCTTTCGCTACCTACGCAGTCCTGAGCGCATAATCTGAACTTGCCAGAGCAAGTTCGCCTGGCGCTCCCTTTCTCCCTGGTTTTGATGTCCTGGGCAGGTGATGACCTGAAGCTGCTCTGCACGAACAAACCCGTCGACGATATCTTCGACGGTTTAGTTGTCTTCTGCATCGCCTCCTGGTTGCAGCAGCAGGAAATGCGCTTTGCAGTCTGTCGTGTGTCATGTGCCCTTGCAAAGCGCCAGGACCATCTCGCTGCAGTAGTCAGTTTGCAGAGCTGATCGGCACCAAGGTTTTTTTCTCTCTGGAATGTCTCGCGTCGTGTTTAGGCCGGAGTGCTTGCTTGAGTGTTCCTTGGTTCCGACCTGACCTCATCCAGGGAAAGACGACTATTTTGGCAGCTTCTTCTTCATCCTGGACGTCCCCCGCCTCGAAATCTCTTGGGGAGAGCACTCTCTGGTCACCAATAGAACGCTCTCCCAGGTGATCTCCACCGGAACTTTGTTCATGGATCTCACCACCGTGAGCTGGACGCGTTTGGGAACAGGGTTCATCGAAGACCAGCTAAGCCAAGGGCATGCGAGCTGCAAAGGGTGGCAAGGTTATTTGTACAGCTCGGAAACCTTAAAGAGCAGGTACTGTTCATCGACACCAGAATAATTAGTAGCAAGTGCAGTAGTACGGGGACTGGCAATAGCAACAAGAGTCACAAAGCAGCAGGATGGGCAGCCTCAGCAATTGTAAGCAATACTCACACTTTGGACGTGAAGTTACACAGATGTACTTCTCGGTTGATTGTGAAGTACAGTTTTCTGATGATGATAGATAGAGAGATCTTCATTGTTGGTGATACCAGGGTTGAACACAGACTGCTGCAATGCACCCAGCTGTTCCGCTACATGGCTTCTTCGGGCATCGACGACAGGTATCAGAGGCACTTTTCAGCGCCGATGACGGCGACCCGAGCAAAGCCAGAAGTAGCAGGACAGGGTACGCGGAATCATGATGGCGCGTCAATTGCACTTTTTTGTCGATCTGGGAAGTGTTTGATTTCGTCGAAGTCTTGACCTTGGTGCAATGTTCTATCAAGTCAGGCATGCGGATCTCTGCCCTCCAAAGAGCCATGGGGCAAGAGCGATTGCCATGCTGCTCGAAACGCCCCCCCCCCCCCAGCAACGCAACCTACACTTTGCCGCAGGACGGCGCGCGTCGGTGCCAAAGTTGGCCGGGTCGTCCGTGTTCTGCGATTGATTCGCATTGCCTGAGCCTTGGCGTCTCCGGCCCACTGCATGGGGTTTGGGAGAGTTTTCAAGGCACGAAGACTCCACAGTTGGCCACATATCTTCAGAGAGTGGTGGAACGACCGCATCCCGGCGTGCAGGTCAAGCTTTTCAAGGCTTTCCTCCAGACGAAAGCCAAGCCCCGGCCTTAGAGAAGGGTTGGCCTGGCGGCTTAGTTCCACATTCAAGCCAGGCCCTTCTTTCCTAGACTCTGCCAAGAGCCACAAACCACTACTGGTCCCCGAGTGAGTTCCAAACTGTATTTAACAGGGACTGGTTTCTACTCCGAGCCCGTGGGGCCTATGGATCAGAGGAGGTATTTGAGTCTACATAGCCTTCTGGACAAGCGTGGAGACCTTGCCTCATAGTTCTTCGAAGCCTTACCTTCTGAAGAAACAAGCGACCTCCCGAGCAGAAGTGGGTGGCTTCCCCGGGTGCACTGCCAAGTGCATGAAGAAAGTTCAAGGAAGTTACAGGCACGTAAGGCACCTGCGCCGGAGCCGGTGAAAAAGTCAATAGACTTTGATACTCGACACTCATGGAGGGAGGCCCTGAACCGTTACTACACCCGTGAAGTTGTGTCAAAAAGCCAGTGCATGGCCAGAAACTGATTCGATCTGTGCTCTGCGTGAAAGCCTGAAGTCACCTGACGGTTGCAGAAGTGCAGAAACTCTTATTGTTCGTTCGAGCAAAATCTCCTGCAAGAGAAGACTCCAAAAAGGAGCCGGTCCTGAGCCCCTCGACCCTTGGCTTCCCTCCCAGGCCGAAGCCGCGGACGAGTAGATTTCACGTCGGCCTCGAGGACGACTTCGAGGAAGACATCGTGGAGGAGGAGCCACAAGTCGTCAAGTGGGAGCTTCCAGTTGACATGTGGGTAGCCTCTGTAAGGCTTTGCGTTCAGGAATCCAAGATTCGAATTGCGCAGGAGACCTCCTTCGACAAGGAGAGCCTGGTAGGAAAGAAGCTTTCCGTTCCCCAGCCAGCATTATGCAAAGATGTCGCCGGTCATGTCGGACTTACATGCCGCGCTCCGAAGCCAAGGCCAAGATGACCCAGTGGACCATTCTGCTGGTGCCACCCGTTGCCGTCTCCGGGGGGGGTCGACGGAGCTTGCTAGGGCCGCCAGGGATTTTGCCGCACCAATTTCTCGAGTCGTTCTAGCAGCAAGGAGTTGCTCTGCGCAGCACCAGGCAAACCGTTCCTGCTTTCATGGTGCGTGCGGGCCCTTTTTCGGCTCAAGCTGGGTTTGATCGGGGCTTCAGGGCCCTAATATGTTAGGCCAAAAAGAGCCTGACATTCAGGCGGGCGGTCATTTTGCGCACCACAGTCATCCGTGTTGAAGGCTGTTGTGCAAGGATGCATGTCACAGAGTGTTTTTGGATGTTTTTGTGCTACTCGTACTTCTGAGGCAGAAATTGAGCAGTACTCGCTCTGCGCACGAGTCGCATCCCGGCTGCATAAGACAGGAGGCATCGGGCTTATCGTGTGCCGTGCCAAGTAAGCCGTTTCTTGGAGTCTTCAGCCGGTCTGTAGGAGCTATGGGTAACATCGAAAGCCGGTCTCCTCCAAACTTTGCGGCCACGCAAAGAGGCGGGGTGATGCTGCTGGATGCACTGGCAAGCGCGCTGTGGTCACAACCAAACCTGGAGCGGTGTCGAGCCCAGGGTGCAGTGGATCTCGTAAAGGGAGACTTAGACTGACCCATTTCGCCAGTCGGAGTCTTGTTACCGGCGAGTGTTAGATGTCTGAAGACACTGAAGACTGGACTTGTGTTAACACCGGTTGTAGGTTGGACCCCTGCCCGGGCTCCCTGCTTGTCTTCCGCTTTTGTCCCTAAGGCCAAGCTGTTGCGCTCCTCGCGATGCCAACCATCGAGGTGGTGGCTCCTGCTTGTGCGGCCTGTGCGCTGTAATCGGGACGCACGGTGGAGACAAGTGGCACACGCTCCCCCGGCCTTGAGGACCTGAGATGCTCCTCGCACGCGGTGGGCGTGGAGGGGAGCTGCTTGGTGCCTCAGAGGCCGCAGGAGAGAACGCCTGTAGCAGTCTCGTTGATGAATGCTGATGATTGAAAACAAGCTGCTGCTTGGAGCGATTGAATGACTGTGGGCTTCGGTGTCACTCTAGGCCCCTGCAAGCCTCACAAGATTTGATTATGACTTCAAGTTATTCACTTGCAGCAATGTGGAAGACTCCGACCCTGTTTCAGGCCACTTGCCCGGGCGGAGCACCTTGTCACGACGTGCGGGCATGCACGGAGCTCCAATTCGGGTCTGGCACTCGGGGCAGAGCAGGGACTGGTTTCTTTCTGCTTCAAAACAGGAAGCAACAGCAAGTTTATGCTTTCACCACCACCATCGTCAAAATCAGTATCATCATCATGATGATGATCATCAGCCTCCTCCTTCTCCTCCTCCTCTTCCTCCTCCTCCTCCTCCTCAACATCATCATGATCATCAGCATCATCAACATCGACATCCACATCCTCACCAGCAGCAGCATCCTCATCCTCATCCTCATCACCATCGTCGTCGTTATCCTATCCATTATCATCCTCAACCTCAACCTCATCCTCATCCTCATCACCATCGTTGCTGTCGTCATCCTCGCCGTCACCATCATCATCCTCACCATCCTCATCCTCATCCTCGTCATCACCATCATCATCATCATCACCAACAACAACATCATCACCACCATGAGCCCGCATGTGACCTACATAAGCAGCCTTTGCGTGCTTCGTGCGTCACAGAGCCATTGCTGATGTCTGATTGTTCGAGGCCCGTTGAAGATGAGGTAACTCTCCATGATCATTGGAGATCCGAGGCCTCCCGAAATGCGGCAGCTGTTGCTGCCATTGACGTAAGCTTAAGCGTGTGGGAAGAGGCTTGAAGGTTCGAAGCTATCGCCGCCAGGATACCAAGACGCGCGAGCAAAGCGCGAGAACAAGCGTATGGGGCGTGGTTGAAGGCCTCCACAAGCCACACCCGGCTCAAGCTCGGCTCAGTTTCGGAACCCTTTGCCCGGTGTTCAGGCGATGAAGAGGAGGAGGACGTCTCGTCCAATCGTCACATGTTCAGACTATTGAGGCAGCTTTGACCTTCAGGAAAATGAAGAAAGGTCTGGCACTGTTGCCGGCCGCCCGTTGTGTCAAAGTGTGCCCAATCTAGCACCGCCCTTGAAATGTTGAGGTCGGAACACGGACAACTAGAACGACCAGAACCTTGAAGACTCCAGACATGCGCAAAGGGCCAGGGCCCAACGTGCTGCTTCGAAGATCCTTTTTACTTATCTTGGCAGTGTGAGAGCACCTGACCAGGATCGACCACAAAGTGCATCAGGAGTCAACCAAGAGCACCTCCCTACCTGCTGCGAATAACTCAGCATCGAAGCACTGCGACAGCCTCGCGGCAGAACCCGCTCACTTGGACTGAGGAAAGCCTAGCGAGCACCGCGAAGGGCAGCAGGGTGAATTGGAATCAGGTGCTCCAGTGCTTTCCTGGCACCACTCGTCACGCATCGCTTGATGTGCTCTAAGAGTGTTTCAGGACGAAGTGGAGGACACGAGTCCGAAGACACCGAAGACACCTAATTCAGGCGCGGGCAGAAGCCTTCGACGGGACTTGGGGCTCCTCCAGCATTGCGTGCTTTGCTTTCGGTGCAGGTCATCGCAGTATGACCAGCAGGAGCTCCCGAAGCTCCTACAGCAACCTGCAGCATCCCAAGCCTCATAGGCCCAGGCACGCTTAAACACCTCGCGACTCGCGAGCTGGCCGAGGTCCGAGAACGCCCGGAGGGCTGCGGCCACGCGTGCGGCCATGGCTCAACTCCATATCGACCTCGAGGATCCCGACGGCCAGTCGGAGGGGCGCTCTGCCGGGGGAGGCAGCAGAACACTTCGCGAACTTTCTCCCACTCTCCTTCCAACGCTCTTCCTCTTCCTTTCCGCAGGCAGCGTCTTGGCGCGGGCCGCCAGCGCGGTCTCGCGGATGCTTCGGGCCGGATCCTCGCTGCCGGGGCCGCCAGAGAGAGTCGTGGGCTTCTTGGGTGTTCAGGATTTCAAGGCCCAGCCTTGCGCCACACCTTGTTGCGATATGTGTAAGTGGTTTGCAATTGTCGAATCCTGGGAGCGATGCAGGGTTTCGTTTCGCCTCGCTTTGAGACCGGTTGCGCAGGACCGCGTCAGCAGGCTCGAAGCCACGCGAGGGTCAACCTATCAGCGAAGCAGACTTTGATTTATGCTCCCTGAACTTCTAGACACTGACACCGACAGCCCGACTTTCCTGATGCCATGGTTTCCTCTCGCAGCTTGGGCCACGACTTCTTGAGCCTTCCACCCAACGCCTGCCCCCAGCTGCAATCCTGCGGAGGCTGGATGACTGAAGGACGACATACTTAAGGTATTTTAAGGTCAGCGCAGAGCTCCGTCCTGACCACACGTTGATTTCTGTCTTGGGAGTTTGGAGCTTTCAGACTCAGTCGCATGTGTGCAGGGCTTCTTGCGGCTGCTGGGCCTTCTTCTGATGCTCAGGAGGCGGGATCTTTTGTTTCCGAGAAGCATGATGCTCTGCGGGAGCATTGCTCACAGGTCGTTGCCGCTTGTGCCAAGAAGAGTCTTCAACAGCTGCAGCTTTCTCCACCTGTCACTTGCTTGCGGTCAAGTTTGCAGTACGAGGAGACGTCAGGAGAAGTGTGTGTGAGAATTCAGAAGCATTCGCTTTCCACCTGCAGCCGCGCCTAGGTGTACTTATACGACGTCGAAGATGCAATCTCCAGACCCGTGGACGTCGTGAAGAACCTCTCGGAACAGGGCTGCTGCTTCGTCTCACATGCCGTCCCGGCCAGCTGCTGCCAGTGTCTGGGCCCATAGGCTTGCTGTCGTAGCTTGCACAACATGCAGGCCTTAGGCAGTAATTCTGTAAACCTGGAAGATGAGGGGTGATACAACATGATACAACAACATGCCGCATGCCCTGTTTTGTGAATCAGTGAAAGCGGTGCGGACGATCATGGAGCAAGTCGTCAAAGCCCTTGCATCATGATGCAGCTACGTGTGTCAGCAGCGCTGTGCTGGCTTTGCACAGCCAAGGCGCCTGGCAGCTTACGTCGATGACGCCCTTGCCGCTGCCCAGAGGGACGTGGAGCTGTCGGGAGAGGGAGATGCGCGCTACGCGCGTCGTCGGTCCTATTTCCGGAGGCCTGCCTGTACTTGATCTCCAGGCCTCCATGCGTGATCATGCGTTTGGTGTATCTGGTTCCTTCTCCGCCAGGTTGGCCTATGCAACCCGGCGAGACCGCATCGAGTTCACATTGCCTCTGGAAGAGGAGGTCAGGGAAGTGCTGGAGCAGATGGTTGCTTCGTTGGGGCAGATCTTGGAGCCGTTTGTGACCCGACATGGCCGACTCGTCGATCTCTCCTGCATGATCTCCGACCCGGACTGTGAGTACCAACCTCTCCACTCGGACACCTCTCTGGAGCGCGTCAAGTTCACCTGCTTCGTTGCCCTACAGGACGTGACAGTCGAGATGGGTCCCACATATCTTTGCCCGGGCACCCAAAACTACGAGCACCATAGCGCTCTCGATGCGATGCAGAAAATGCAGTTGCCCCATGATGAAATGTTAGAACGCCTGGGTGCCGTCCCGGTCCTCTGTCAGACTGGCGATGCTTACATTATGAATTCGCAACTCTTGCATTGTGGTGGTGCCCAGGCATCTGCCGTGACGGGGGGAAGGCGTCGGCGCTTGCTGTACGTGACCTGGCACCTGCCAGGCATCACGCCCGGAGAGCACTCCTTGAGAGACGAGCTGGTGGGACGCTTCCGTCTCGGTGACTTTGATAAACGGGGCCCTGACCTTCCGGACGACTTCGATGAGGAATACAGCGAGCTCTTCATTGCGGCGAACAAGTTGGATGACGCGGAGGCCATGCTCCAGTTCGCCAAGTGCCTAAGGGAGCGCGGAGACCTCGGGGCCGTCGCCTGGATGCGGCGCGCCTGCCGCCGGGGCCATCCCTTGGCGTGCATGCACCTGGCAGAGGTGTTCTGCCTGGGAGAGCTCGGGATGGCCCAAGACTTAAAGAAGGCCGAGGAGCTGCGCACCTACGCCATGGCACTCTGCGAGAAGCTGAAGAGACGAGCCTCAGCCTCCGATGGCTCTGAAGCCGAAGAGCCCGAGCTGCCTCTCTGCCTGAAGTGTCGCTGAAGCAAAGCGCTTTAGGGCCTCCGACACCCGAGAGCAGCTAATGCCTCTGCTCGTTTCTGGATCGGGAAACAATGCGTCCGCCCTGGAGCCAGACGCAGGCCTTCATCGTTTTATCCGAAAGGTAGCTTGCTAGGCAGACTGAGGGGAGACATGGCACCTCCATGGCGAGCATTCACTTTCTACCACCCACGCGTCCTTCATGCCCAGCTCTGGCACTGGCTGAATCCTCCGAAGCTCATTTGAGGTCCAGCATGCTGGGTGCGACCTCCCGGACCACGCAGCGAATGCAGGGAACCCGGTGCCAGCGCAGCCAGTCCGGGTATGCCGGGTTCGAGAACTGCCTTGCGAGGCCGACGCTGACGTCCATTAGCCAGCGGCGGACCCTGGCTTCGATGGTGTCCTTCCGTGAGGGGCCCAAGTCCTCGTCGCAAGGGTTCGCCAGCCACGTGGGACTCCCTGGAAACGGAGACACATGAGGTCTGAACTCCCCACAGCTCCTCCGGGCCACCAGGGCTTACAAGCCACTGCCCGTGGCCCAGGGTCTGGGAAATCCAGGGGTGCGCGTGTGATGCCGCGCTTCGATTTCTCAGCATTGCTTCGGGGTGATTCTGGCCGAGCAACAATCACACCTTGCTCTGCGTTCGTGACCTGTTGCAGCAACAACTGAAGTGCCATGACTGCTCAAGAACACTCTGCTTTCCGATATGCAGACTTGCGTGTGCAAATGTTTCAGAAGCACAATCCCGAGACAAGAAGCCTTCGAATGTAGCCCAGAGTCTGAATTGAAACTTGGTAAAACGCAGATGGACCTTGTCAGAGTACCAACTGTACCAGGAGCAGCAACCAAGGGGAAACCACTGCAAAAGTTCACAAAAGGCCGCCAGCACCGAAACCCCGACACGACCTTGAAGACCCAAGCGATCCTCAACATCCAGGATGTACCCCAAAACCATGGCCCTGCCTCCAACGCCCAAGAGTCTTCCTTCCTCAGGGTCAATCTTGGAGCCGTCTTGCGGGATCGCAGGCTGGGCGAGAGCTGCTGCTGCTGCTGCTCCTCCTACTACCGCTGCTACGACTGCCACTGCCACTGCCATTGCCACTACCACTGCCGCCCACGCACACTCCCACTCCCACGACGCACTGCGACGACGACTACTACTACAACCACCACCATCACTGCTACAACTCCTAATGCTACTGCCGAACCCCCGAAAGCATCAAATGTATACGTAGTCCAGAGTGTTGGCTTAATCATGATCGCTCCTGGCCCTGCCGTGGTGATGATGACGTTGATGATGGAGCTGAGTGCACCCTTGTATCAGCTGCACGTGAACAGAACCGTTTCGAACACCAGAGTGACACCACTTTCTCCCTGGCCAGGTCCACGCGGGTGGGCTTCGGGAGATCCCTGATCGGTCAGGCCATGGCGCTGGGACCCCAGCGGCTACCGGCCACCAAGCCTAAGAGTTAGAGCACGCGGCACTCCTTCCTCAACAAGAGAGGAGCCCTGCACCGAACCAGAGGTTGATCAAAAATACATGCTGGTTACACCGTGCATGCTGTGCGAGTAGAAGGTGTGCGGGCAAGTCTGCCCAAGTCGGTTCAGATGTCCCAAAACTCGGTTCCCAAATCCTGAAACATTCCCAGTGATTTGCCTTGGCCATATACGCCAGGGACTATCTAAGGACTATCTCCCAGGTCAATGTCTGCCCGCAATCTTGCTTGTTCCACCTCCTCCCGCTCTTTCACTGCCATTCTCATTGCTACCACCATGGTAGATTATGTAGATTAAAATTTAAATACATGGCCCAGCCATCTTCGAAAGGCCAGCTATTCTTCCTGTGAGTATGCTCGTGATTGGTGTGTCCAGCACCAGAAATCGAGTCGAGGTCCGCCGAGAACGTCGTCCGCCACACAGAGTCCTTTGATGCCGATGGCCCAGCTCATCGAATCAGATCCTATCTGAACACGTCTATTGGTTGGCATAGTCTAGATCCCAAGGAGGTCTTGCCTTTTCTGGCATGGTCCGGCATTCTCTGCTCAGGACTACATGTTGAGCTTCCAGACCCGACGCTCGGCTTGGGTCGCCTCAGTACTTGGTTCGACTTTTAGTGGGCCCCTGGCATCTGGTGAGGCTTTGCTTCCTGACCCGAAACCCTACAGCATGGCACTATAATGCTATAGCATTATCGTAGTAGAGTACTGCTTTTTCTTGTGCCTTGTACGAGTCGCTACGGGTCGCTGGGAGTCTGCGACCGAGGAGAGATCGACCAGTTCTGGTCCCACAGCTGGCGAGCGAACACCTTTCTGAAGGCCAGCTGAAGAATTCTGCCTTGGAGTGGGGTCAGGGTTGGACTAGGAGTTGAAGCTGCTGGTGGATTCGTCACGGGGTCCGAGGTGATGGTGCTGCTGCTCTACTACAACCAGGACCTGATTCATCATAGCCACCTATGCCAGGCAGACAAGGCCGACAAGTTACGAAACGATGCCAGGCGCCGGCAGCCTTCTTCAGCATCCTCAGTGGCGGTGTGGGGATGGCTGGAAGCTTGGACTCGGAGCGATCATGTGCCGGAGATGCCGTGCTGCCCCTCCGTTGAGGCTCTGCGAGCCCTGCACATCTTGCCGTATTTCGTGAAGCTGGAGCCGGGCCCCTTATTCGTGGAACATGGGGGAGGTTGGCATAGGTTGGCCTATTGGCCAGGAAGGTCCGTTGGGGTTCACTCCGAGGTCTGCCGTGGTGGGTGGGACCTATCTCTATGCGGCCACGTAGCCCAGCTTTCCGCCGCCAGTTCCCTCCCTCCCCGCTTTGTGTGAGACCTCCGTTTTCCAAAACCAACAGGCCTGGACATCCATCTTTGGCCTCACGGCTTTTCTTTCGGTGCAGCTGCCCTGTTGATGCGCCGGATGTGCTCGAAGGCTTCTTCGCTGCTTCAGAGGTCTCCCGTTGTTCGTTGCAGGTCCTCTTTCTCTGGCGGCCCAAGCAGAGGGTGTTTCTGGACAAGGCTGTACCTGAATTACCTGAACACACTCTCACCATAAGCACGTTGTCCTCGAGTCTCCAGGTTTGCATCCACCAGAAGGACCCTGTGCTCAAAAAGGTGCTTTGCTTAGCCAAAACTTCTCGGCTGCCTTGCAGAAGCGGCTCAGACACACGCCTGGCATGATTCAAGTAAGGAAGGGGTGGAGAGCATCGGTGCTTTCCTCTACTATTCCCAAACCATGCTGGTGTTGTGGGACCCCAGCTACGTCGGTTGCCAAGACGATTCTGTTTGGTATTCCAGACACATGAGCTCCGCATGAAGCTTCGCCAGCCACAGGCCACGCGCTTGTGGTGTGTCTTCGAGATGGCTGCATTTGCATGGGCCCACAGGAGCCTTTGGTGATTGCCGAAATGCGTACCAGATCTCTCTGTTCGTGCATACGGAAGCATGTATGTGTGCATATACGCATGCGCACGTCATGCGTGCAATGACGGAGGGATGGATGGGGGTGCGATGCAATCATCTGTCCGGTGCACACATGTCTGCGCAAGGGCCCGCATCTGCATCTACGCTTTCGTGTTTCTGTCACTGCTCGCTTGGACGCAGGAATGACCTGAAGAATCGTGTGGAGATCCGCCCGGTAATATTTGCACCGGCTGGAACTGGCTCGTTGTCAGTTTGGGTCGACTTGCAGAGGGGGATGGCGTCATCTCTTGCGATGCCAGGTCTACTTTGGGCTCATGGTGCCCCTGCCTCGGCAGGCTCAGGGCTCTCACCGGACATTCCCCGCATTTTTCTTTCGAGGACCTCGGTCATCAACTGGGCCTTGCTCACCATGTTCCCCAGGCCTGGCTCTCACCCCAGCCGAACCCGAACGGCCCTCTGTCTTCGATCTCAAAGCTACTCAAAAAGGACCCCGACGATGAGCATTACCGTCTGGCCGGCTCTGCAGTCCATCATTTGCATCCTTGGGGTGCATTTCTTGAGGCCAGGCCCAGGCGGTTTCTTGCTGCCATGGCGTGGCAAGTCATTCTGGGGAGGTCTTTTCACAGAGACATGACCATCCTCCGACAGCATCTGGCGGAGCCCGGGCCCCCAAAAAGAGGGGGCAGTACTGGTAGTACTTGCGAGAATGGGTCTAATCTTGTAAATGTGGGAAAAGACGCGAGCCTCTTTGAAATCAGGTTCCAGGCAGCAAATGCCCAGTGCTACTGCTGTAGTGTTCTGAGCTCAGCCTTTGTGCCTTCGCCTCCGGGCACACGGCTTCGATCGCAGATTCAGATCTTGCACCCCGCCCGAGGTGTCACATCGGCTGCCTGAGACGGGTGAAAGGATAGCTTGTGCCCGGTGCTGAGTGTGTCCGGCATCACCTAAAAGCTCTTACTTTCTGCCTTGCAGACTTGTTCTGGTGCCAGTTTGATAGACCAGAGCACGGTTGCGATCTTCAATCCGAGCCTGCGGATGTGAGCAGGATCGAGAGGTCATCCAAGCATGTATTGTCGGCGGCCCAGAACCGGGAATCAAGAGCAATGCTGTGAGTTCAACACCCGTTCCTTTAGCCTCTTGCAATCTGCGTGCCGATTGTTTACCATCAATGATGCAAGTACGCTCTGAGCTTTAGAGTGGGAGCAATGGCCTCTGTCAGATGACGTGGTTTGGCACCTTGACAGACTTCGACAGCTTCGTGCAAGCTGAGTGCGCCCAGCCAGTGGCATTGGACAGGTTCTGATGCGGTCTGTGGGAGCATACATGTCGGAAGGCTGGCTGGCTACTTCTGGCGGTCGCTTGGGCACTTCGGCTTGTGCCACCTGCAAGTATTGTGAAAGATTCTGTCTTGGCCTTGACAATGTGGCCTGCTCTGTCCCAGACTCTCGCGCATGACAGGCCGTATCGTTGGGTGCTGGGCTCACAGCTCCCTGTCCTCTGGGTGTGGCTCTCAATGTGCGCATGTCCAGCACTTCAAGTGGGCTTTCGGTGCATCTCATGCTGGCTGTGCCATGAGGCTTATATGGACATAGTGGCAGATAGCATCCAGGGTGGAGATGTGCGGGAATCTGAGTGCAAGATCTATGGCCGGGTGTATGAGTGTTAATGGCATCCGTTCTGCTTAGGTGGTACATCTCCTCCATGGTCATCGAAGGACTAGCCATGTGGCTTTGTGCCTGGGCCTCAGCAAACCCTCAGCAACCTGGACGCTGTTCCCAAAGCTCTGCAATTGATGCTACATGCTCTGCCTTGTCGTCTGTCACTGTATACAGCACCTGCTCTTCGCAAGTGTTGCCTCCATTGTATCGCAGTGTTCATAGGCGCTTACTTGACATGCAAGGCGAGCCCTCTGGTTGTGGCTTTTGTGATTTGGGCTGACTCCTCAGTGACTGTCATGAACAGGTCTGCCCTCCAGACAGTAAGTGTAAGTGTTTGTGTGTTTGTGGTTATTCCTTTCTCAAGAGAGCGGTGTGGAGTTTGGCAGATCTTGACAGCCCAGGTGACGAACCTCTTGCAGAGAAAGCGCAAGCTGGCCGTCTGCGACACGTTAGCCGCGGGCTGAACTCAACGGGCAAGCTGTGCCCAAAGTGAGTCGACTCGTCAGCTCCTAGCTTTTCTGGGTTCAGGTGTCGCTTTGGGCAGCATCACTCGCGCCTGAAGCTCATCCAAGAGATCTGAAGGAGCAGCGATGGAAGCCTGCGAAGCTGAGGCTCATTCCCGTCGGGACGCTGACTTTCCTCTGGTACGTGTCCCGCTTCGTGTAGCCCTCGGAACCAGGTCGGCGCTCGCGTGTTTCGCTGTGTTTGAGAGCCGCGACGAGGCCATCTCCCCCACGAACCCGCTTCCCGGCGCCATCGTCTTCCTCATTGTCCTGCCGGCACCAGTTAGCGCCGCCTCTGCCGCCTCCGCTGCTCGGCTGGCTGAGCCGGCTGCCCTGGCTGCCCTGGCCAGGTAACGGCAGAGGTGACAACGCTTACGTACAAGTCCGAAGCTGAAATCGAGGGGGCGGTGGGGGGGGTCGGGCAAACCCGGGGCGGGGGATCTTTTCAGAGCTTCACGTCTCGGAGCCTCAGGTGGGGGCGGTCAAACTGCTTTGCATGTGGCTGAGCTCCGTGCTGGAGCATCGAGCATCCACGTTGGAGTGTTGGTGCAGGGTCCACCTGCGACCGATGCATAGATAGGAGCGTCCTCAGAAGGGCCGCCCGAATGTTGAAAACTCCCAAATTCTGCATGCTCGCTTGCGCATGAAGAGTAGCGGACTGACTAGACCAGAGTCTGACTAGAGATTTGATCTTGAACACCATGTGCTTGAACCATAATAGGCACTGCTCACAAAGCATCAACAAGCAGGCCTAAGGCAGACTGGATCAGTGTAGTCTTGCTGATATACGACAAGGATGTTTACCGGTCATCATGCGCTCGAGTCACCCTGATTGCTGCTAAATGCAGCAGCATCAGATGCTTCAGCACTCTGCGACTCTGCGATGAGATTGCAGGTGGCTTTTGAATAGTTTTAAATTCGCTCCGGCAGACATAGCTCGTTGTTGAGCTAAGAGCCCGGAGAGGCCACGACAGCAACACTGAAGGTTCGCCCCCGAGGTCAGTCTGTATGCAGATGATGCGGTAAGCAGCTACCAAAGTGTCAACCTTTCATCTGTAACATCTATCCACATATATTCTGGCAGTTTCCGAGCGGCCTGATCTCTCTCTCTCTCTCCTTCCCTCTCTCTGTGTAAGCTTGTCTGTGTAAAGAGGCAAGTCGATACATGAACAGCGACCATGGCACATGCACAGACATACATACAGATGGATCGTGGGATGAATCTAGACGGAATGACTGATTTTTAGGCAGATGCAGGCAGGCAAGAAGGTACGCGGAGAATTTTGTCGCAACCCGCTGGAGCACTGCTGTCGACTGGCCGGTAAACCTTTCCGCTCCGAGGATTTAATCCTCGAGGGCCTGCGTCGTTTCCGAAGCGGTTTCCTACGGAATTCGAGGGGCGCCTACCGGGAAGTGACAAGAACACAATAGTCAAGGCCCTTGGTTTAAATGGCTCATGACAGCACTAAAGCAGAAGGCCACTCGAAACACGCCACCACATCGAATCGTCGGAACAACGTAAGACGTGTGCTGTAGAACTTCCCGGTTTGCCGGCCGCTTCAGGGCTAAATCACCGCGCAGCTACCGTCAAGCCGTCAGGCCATAGCCGCTCTTCGCTTTCACCGGCCGAGCCTCGAAGCAATCTGCCCATGAGCCGCACAGCTGGGGGCACCCCTTCAAGATGAAGATTCTCGTCAAGGATTCTTCCACGCTGTTTTCATTTTCTTCTTGGTCCGGATCCTGGCGCTGGGGCAGAATGATGCAAACATCGCTGGATTGCACCTCAGCGGCCGATTTTCCTCCGTGCATCTGAAGGATGCACATAGGCTTCAGATGTGTCGAGGACTGCAGAGGGTGCATCAAAGAACCTGCTGGGATGCATGTCCGAAACCCCCATAAGAAGCAAAGAAAGCTCGGAATCCAAGAGCGCCGGGGCCAAATGCAGCTAAAGGCGGAGGCTAAGGACTGGACCTCCTCCCCACGCAGGTGCTCACGCTACTGATCGTCCTGCCCCTCCTGAGGCGCGTTTAGCATGGGATTCGGGTCTGTGAGGCCAGGGACCTCGCTTCGTTCAGATGTAGTATCACGCGAGTTGGCAATTCGGCTCCCACGCTGTCGGCGTGGTCTCCTGCATCTCCGAACACCTGACACCCACGCCTCTCAGATCCCTGAACTGAACCGAGACCCGGGAGAAACTCAAAGATGCGAAACCTGGTGATGTGGCCTTGAGCCTACTTCGGTGCTTCAGATTTTCAGTTCCAACACCTCCTAATCAGGAGAACATGTCCCAAACCAAAACAGCAACAAAGAAGCCTGTAGACATGCCTAGTGCAGGATCAGGCTTGCCGTGACCTACGCTTTGCAGCAATGTAGCACCCTCTGTCCCTCCGTGGCCCAGAGTCAGGATCGACATGGCCGAGCGGCTCCCGACGTCCTCCACCTACGGTGCCGAGGAGGTCCTGGAGGTGCGGGAAGCGGAGCCAACGACGTCGGTCGGGGAGTTGTTGGGCTGATCGCGGCTGGTAGGGCGGTAGGGTTTGGGGCTTTGAGCGGTTCTTGGGGATTCAGGGTTTCATTCGGCGGAGTCGAGCCCTCATGAGGCTTGGGAGAATACTGAATTTTCTGCGTAGTCATCTCGTCGCCGGCATTGCAGGAGTCCGTTCCGTCGGCGCCATTCTTTTGGGGGGTGTTCGACTGGGGTCCCTCCTGGCAATCGCTCCTGGGCAGGCCTACCGGAGAGCAGAGGCAGATGCTACGCAGCGATCCAGTTACGACAAGGCAGATGTCTGCATGCTGAGGGTACATCTAGGTACGTCTCCTACGCAAGACCAGCGATTTTCAGACTCAGCTCTGTGAGGCTGTCCTAAGGACGCTCTATTACCATAACTGGTACACAGGCCAGGGGGTCTGGAATTGCAGCCAGCTTGTGCTTGTGGTGCCTGTAATCCGGCAGAGGTTGCCATCGCAAGATGTGTGTTGAAGTCATGGGCCAGGTCGAAGTGCAGAATGTCCAACAGCGATATCTAGCTGTTCTCGCTTCTTCTTGAGCCATGCCTTTTGGGCAGGGGGCTTAGATCTGCCCCCCCCCGCTCCCTCCCGGACCCTCCCGCTGTCCCCCTCGCGAGCTCCGAGGTTGGCATCGCCGGCTTCGGGGATGCGGAGCGACCGCGGCTTCGGGAGACAGCCTTGGAGGTGGCCTTGACTCCCTCGGAGGCGAGAGGCTTAGAGTCTTAGAGGGTTTTGCATGGGCACGGCTTGTGCTGAGCGGACGGCGCTTGGTGGGGATGCGCTTATTTAAGGTGCTGGCCTTCGATGCTGCGGCAGCAACGCAGAAGCTTGGCTGAAGCGTGCATGGTGTGATGCTCGCGTTGCTCACTGCACGAAGACTCGCTGGTCCCGACAGCTCCCTATAGAAGTTTTTCCATGGCAAGTGGTTGAGGAATGCCCTCTATACCTACGGCACAATGCCGCAGGAAGCCCGACACTTACAGCAACTGGGCTCGGCCAGCCGGAATCGAGCCGGGCCATTCGACGTGCACGCTCTGTGGCATGCAGGTCGTGCAGAAATTGGCGTCGAATTGGACGACCGAGTGTGACATAAAGGGGAAACTCATCATTGGTGTGTCAGTCGGCCACTAAGTGGAATGTCCAAGATTCAGCTCCTGCTGTTGTTTCGAATTGCCTTCGAGGTGCTGAGCAACGCTGATCATCCGGTGCCATGCCCTTCGGACTTGCGCTACCAAGAGGCGCTCCGGAAGTTGTTCCAATGCTCACGCCAGCATTGATCGTGACTTCCCGGGAGGTCGAAAGAGTGGTTCCGAGACTCATGCCTGGCAGTGCGTGGAGTCCTCAGTATGCTCTCGTGAGTCTTGATTTTGGGCGGGCAGCCCGGAAAACCTTGTGACAATTTGCTGCAGGTATACGCAATCTTGGTTCTTTGTCTTCTACTACGACTTGCGACCGTTCGTGCAAGCAGAGGCACGCCACTTTCCCTCAATACCGGGCTAGGCATCTTCATCTTGAGTTACTGTTTCGACTCTCATTGCCAGGCGGCTTTTAGCATTGCGACGACTGTTGCGAGCTTGGCTGTCCAGCAGCTTTCGAAGGTTGAACAAAAAGCAGAGCCACTGGTGTGACGTGCAACCCGATCTCAAAGGTTTTTATATGCGTCATCTTGTGCATCGCCTCCATTATGTTTACTAGCACTGCAAATGTCGCGACCTCAGAGAGCGATGTGGTTCCAGCTTCGCAGATGCAGAGAAAGTGTGGGAAGACGTTCGCATTGAGGCCCTCGTTCTGGCGCCAGTGGAGAAGATGATGCGGAAGGTTGAGGCAGATGCACGCACTGAGTCCTCAGGACCTGCATGCTTTTTGCAACATGTTTGACGAACGTAGGAAGGACTTCTTTGCAGAGCTTACATGCAAAAATCTCGAGCTACACTCTCCTTTGAAGCATTTAGATGCGAACTTCTGCAGGCCATCCGGTCGAACCCGCTGGCTGCCACAAAGCTGGCAGACGACGAGTTCCAGCGAGAGGCGCAGAGACGAGTCGCTGAGGGCGAAAAGGGCTTAGGGCTTAGGCTTTAGGGATCTTTAGGGTGTATAGGGTCTAGCGTTGGCGAGTTCCAGTCGTGTCGCATGGGCGGACACCTCCCTGTTGATGAGGACATTAGTGTTATTATTACTGTACTGTTATCGGCTTTGTATTGCTTCATACTGCATTACATTGTAACATATTACACTATGTTATGTTATGCAATGCTATGTATGTTTTTATGTAGGCATGCATGCGCGTCTGGTGTGATATGATATGACCCGATATGGCATGGCATGGTATGATGTGGTATGACTTCGACAACACGTGCAGGCGTATCGATCACTCTGCGTACATATGTACGTATGCACAAAGCAAGCTACCCAAAGAGAAGCCGCACGAGTGGATCCAGGAGCGGGAAAGGAGGAAGAAGGCCGAGCAGAGCAGCTCGCGCTGGAAGCGCCTCAAAGACCCGGCAGCGCTCTGCAGGCCCCCGTTTGGTGTTTGGGCGTCGGGTGGGTTTAGAAGGTCTGTCTTTGAATCGAATGCCAATGTGCGGAGTCCTTGAAATTCGGTCTGGTGCTTACCGTGCAGCTTGCCTGGGCAGAGAGGCGTGCGACCGACCGCAGCGTTGGCTTTTATCAGCGCATCAGCAGCCTCACTGGAACGCATGTCTCAAGTACGTACCGTATCAGCTGCATCGTGACTGGTACAGTCTGCCTGCCTTTTCGACAATGTAACGCAAAGTTGGTTGGATACTGCTGGCTTGTTTGAAGCGCCCCCTGGCCATGGCGGAGCCAGCAAAGAAGAAGTCGAGGACCAACCCTGACAACTTCTTCAGCAAGGACCGAGCGCAACTGACCCCTTCCTGTCTTAGGCATTACGGCTGGATCGTCATTGGTGCCCACAAAGATATCCCACAAAGGTCTTCAACGGAATAATTCATGAGACTCCGAAGTTGCTGGCACTGCCTCGGCGATCGTGCGTTGCGGCCAGCTGCCAGGAGTTTCTTACGCAGCACATCCGGGGCATCATCGGCTTCTACCAGCCAAGGCTCAGTAGCCTCGTCCTCTTGTCCTTGCCATGCTGCGCGTCTCGTTGCCGGAGGGCCGTGGACCCAAGCGGTGGGTTCTTTCAGAGCTTCTACATCGATGGCAGGCGTGGAAATCGGACGCTGTAGCTCTGAATGGTTTCCTGCACCGGACATCAGACATCCTTTCCGAGTTCGAAGCTCGCACAGAACCCAGCCGTGTTCGGGAGGAAATTCAATCCGGAGTTCCGACAGATCGTGTCCAGTTCTCGCATGGTGGGCAGCTCTGGGGTTCAGAGTTTAGGGAACGTCAAGTGCAGCCTGCAGATCTCCAAGGTGATCAACTTCATGCTTGCGGGCAAGCTTCTGCAGGACCCAAAGCTGCTAGATATCGGCCGCCATGGCCTCGAGACGACTGGCAGCATGAAGGTCCTTTTTCTGAGAGACGCTGGTCTTGCTTCTCTTCTCGGGATGGTCTACAGAGGGATGTTTCCAGATGGCCGAATCTCGCCGTAGTGGGCATATGCGGGCATGTCTTTTGCGAGCCAGCGCTTTGACGCAAAGGTACATCGAAAAGGTGCACTACAATCCAGCGAAGCAGAGCTATGCTTTCACTGTGCGAAACCACAAACCCGAGGACCTGAGTCTGGCGAGAGCTAGAGGAAGCGTCACTTCTGCCTCTGACATGGAATCCAGGACATGGTGGAGCAGGCTTACGGCTATGCTTTCATCCTCGCAGCTCACGCTGCAGCGCGTGCAGCCGGAGTCGCTTGGCTTCACAGTGCCACGGTCAATCGGGTCAACACGGCGACTGCGAGTCGCAGGTTGCCAAAGACAATGTGGAGGTAGGCCGAGTGTTCGACCTGCTGGAGCGCAAGTTTTGGCTCCCCGACAAGCGCCTTTGCAGAAATTCCTTTAGCTCACGCGGTGCCTCTTGGATGGCATCCGCTTTGCTGCGAAGTCTGAGGGGAGCATACCTGGACACGATCAGTGCGGAAGGCGCGCTGCATCCCGCTGCGGCCTTTTGCAGAATTCTATGCTTTGGAGGTGTGGTTGACAACAGTTATCGGGGCCAGAACTCGAACATGCACATGTGCGAGGCACTGGCTGCTTCTGTAAATCCGTGAAGTCTACTTCTGATCTTCTCAGCGTGTTGCGTCCCAGGCGCTGATCGCTGCCTACGAGGCAACGAAGGAGACGCGCGGCTCGGCTCAGCCCGGACAGCCCCGGCTTGGCTCCGAGAGCCCGAACCGGAAAGCGAAAGGACTCCAAGAGATTTGCTTGATTCCTTGAAGCCTTCGGAATCAGCGAGGTTACTTGGATCGCGCCGAAGTTCTCGCCGAGACCTTTGCGGCGACACCTGTCCCGAGTTTGGATCAACCCAACTACGGTAAATCGTCAGAGCCTCCACAAAGCCTCGAAAGCAAAAGCCGATGTAAACAAAACCAGAGAAGCTGAACCGAAAACCTCGGGATCTGAGGAAGCTCGCTGCAAAAGGCCGGCACTCGACGTTCGGGGGCAGATCGAGGGCAGCAGGGTAGCTTCGGACCCGTCCGAAGGCGGAGGCTTTGTTTGGGAGCACTACGACGTGAACTTCGAGATCGATTGGGCCGCTTGGATTCGATCAGATCCTCACGGCAAAGAGTGCGGTGTCAATTGCCTCCAGATGTACCGAGGAGTACAACAAGAATGACCCGACCAACATCTATCGACCTTGGGGCTTCCAGCCTGGGCATCAGCAGCTCAGCGAAATCGGGAAGGATAGCAGGGGCTGAGCTCGCATGACCTTGGCTTAAGAAATTGAGATGTCGGTTCCGAGGATCGAGTGGGCAAAGAACCTTCTGAACATCTATCGCCACAGACCCAAGTTCTGGATGGTCAACCGTGCGAAGGAGAGGATTGAACTTCCGGACCTTAAGAATGTGAATGAACCATGCAGAGATCCGGTTGTGAGGGTGTATGTGTGTGTGTGTGTCTCCGAAGAATGACGCAAGGAGCTCTTCGACGGATCCTGGGACTTGTCCTGGGATGATTGTCACGGCGGCCTTGTTTATGGCTTTGGACCGGACAGGACAATTGCATCGGTTCGAACAATATACCGGATCAGTTGCACGTGATAAGCATATGCAGCAGTATGTGGCATCGCATAGGGTGCCACTAGTCCCTTCTCCCCTGGGGCAGACACACTTTTGTGCCGTTGCGTGCTTCATTCCTTGCAGTCTACGATTCAGCCTACTTGGGGTGGCTCTCTAACCCAGATCCTGACGGAGGCCATGCAAGTGTCACAGAACTGTGCTGGAGTGCAGATGCCCCTGCCACCCCCCGCACGTGAATGTATACCGGTGGTGGCATTTAGTTATTGTGTTTCGCAATGATCCCATTATCCTAGCTAGTCCTTGTTACTGCTGCCAATGCTTCGAGTCTTGCTTTTATTTGGTCATTTGGAAGGTGCGAGTTTCATAGTTTTCGAGGTCAGTTTCGGTGCTGAGTTTCGGGGCCATGGCCATGCTGACGCAAACTGTGCAGAAACTGGACCCCGAAACTGCTCCTGCCTGATCCGAACAGCCGCCGATCCGAAACCAAAGCCCTGAAACTGTGGGTATCCTTCTTCATGGTCTTGCTGTGGGTTTTGGAATGGTTGTTTGATACGCCGCCAGTGGAAAGCTCTGGGCGGCGGCATAAGTCGCAGTGTTGTGGAGGGCTTTTGTAACCACTGTGGACAAACAATGGACCCCAATGCCGACCCCTACGTAGTAGCATCCTTACAACAGGAAGCCTGCACCCCCCCGTTTCTGACCGACCGACCGACCGACCGACCGACCAACCGCCGATCGGGCAGGCAGGCAGACAGATGGATAGATAGACACACATGAGAGATCGATAGATAGACGGATAGATTGGTAGATAGAAGATAGATAGGTAGATAGGTATGTAGGTAGGTAGGTAGATAGGCATATATATATAGATATATGTCTATATTTACATAGACAGATAGAGGAGGGATGTTGCCCGACAGATGCGGCAGACATGAGTAGAGCGAACGGACGGACACACCGCTCAGCCCTCAACTGGAGGAAGTGGTGTGACAGCGAGAAGTACTTCTGGGTTGTAGCCTCAGGCTCTGTCGTGTCGCCGAAGTTTTGCGGCTTTCTTCATGCAGGGAAATTCAGTGGCGTTTGGGATTGACACCTTATGATGGACCCCTTTCTTCGTGTCTATGGCCTGTGGTTCCGATTTTACGTCTTCACGGTTAGTGATGTCGGATCCGAGTCGGAGAGCTCATGGTGGCCTAGGTGCAGGGCGAGTCTATTGCCACAGCTTCCTTACTTTATCAAGCCGACCGCTGAGACAGGTGCAAGTCACTTAATTTTCGGCGGGCGAGATCTGCTGCCTATGCACGTTTCATTTTGCTAAGGCGACGAAGGACCCGAAATACATCGAGAAGTACGTCTGCCTCTGGCAGTACTGCTGGAAGCACTGGGTGGACCATGAGCATGGCGGCCACCCTCCTGACTTACGACTCTGCTTTTGGATTAACCTTGAGCTTCGGATGTCAGTTCAGGTTGGCTATGCTTCAAGATGTCCCGCAGCAACGAGCGGACGAACGACGAGAAGGCCATAGCTTTGCCACACTTTGGGAGTGGAAGCCGAAGCCGAAGACTCTGCAGGCGATCGCTGGTGGGAAGTGTGACTACCACACGCTGGTCTCCTGTCACTTGGCCTCACATGGATCAGGTCAGGCCAAGGTCGGCGTCGTCCAGCGGTCCCAGGCGTGGAGGCTCTGCGCCCCTTCCAGTGAGCCCTTTTTGCACGGATCGACTGCTGAAGAGCCATCTTCCTCGAACGTTGGATGCAGGGAAGAGGAGGGAGGTGCGAATGTGCCTACTACGGCAGATGGCTCAATGCAATCGATTCAGTAGCTAGGTCGCAGTCTGCGAGTTCCAGCAAAAAGTGTGGGATGAAGCGCATGGTATGGCAAAGGCACCAAACATCAAGATCGGGAAACCCACCCCCACGAAGTTTCAACAGTCAAATATGCAATTCTAGGGACAGGCCGGCGGATCACTCCCAACGCCCCCATCCGGTTGCAGCCAATGACAGAATCTGAATGCAAAGTCCTTGGATTTGAAGTGTTCTGGTCGAATGAGTCGAATCTAGCCTAACTTAAACTCATCGAATTCGGTTTCATGTGTTCTCCTGTTCCGACCGATTTCTGATCTAATGAGCGCCTTACTGGAATGGGACTGGGATAGACTCTGTACCGACCCGCGACGATTGAGTTTATTGTGTGTTGTTCTGCCCCACCTGCGCCAGTAACCAGGGGGGCATGATTGAAGTTCTTCATGGGAGTTTCTGAAAATAGGGGACCCTAATACAGTAGCCTAAGTAGTAGGATCCTTATTACAACTACCCCGAAATACGGTAAAGCCAAATTTCGGAAATTAAAAACCTTTAGAGCCCTTTAAAGGAATCCTTATAGCCTATAGCCTTATAGGTATTCCTTTAAAGGACCCTAGTGTGCCCTAATTTTCGGAAACTCCCATTTTTCTGACAGGACGGAGGCTCAAGAGCCGATGGAGACCGTAATCTTGGAGAAGACGATCATCAAGCAGGGGGGCTAAGTTTGTTGCTAGATGTCGCAGTTCTATAAATGAGGGGGTCCGTTTGAGGATGCTACTTTAGAGAACATGTTAAGCTTGGACGGAAGTCCACTTTCGGTACCCTCCTGGTCAGTGAATCAGAGGCTGGGCTCGCTCCTGGCGCTGGGATTTGGCGAGGCCCGCGGCCCTCCAAAGCGCGAGCAAAAACGAGGAAGGGTTCGTTCAGCGCCGTTGCTTGAAGGCTGGTGCGAACATCGTCAGCTCCAACATGGATGGTGCCAACTCCGGGGTGAATGCCATGGTGGAAGGTGCACGGAAGTGCTGCCTGCATGAACCCCCTGATCATTTGTGCTGTGTCAGGCTCCATGGTCAACTGCATAGCCGGGAGCCCGGAGAGCAAATTCGGAATGGAGAATCAGTCAAGCCGCCAGCGCATCGGCCGGCCGGCCCCGCTGCACAGGTGGGAGTCGTGCGGATTCTCAACTTCAGCACAGCGACGGAAGTGCTGCAGGGTAAGGCCAGTCGACGGTCGCAGATCTGTGCTACTTCAGTCTTCCTAGCCGACCCTCGTGTCGGCGAGCACAGACAGAACCAGTTCTTTTTCTTCGTTGTCTTGTGCATCTGTGTTGTGCTCATAGGCCTGTGTTTGCCTCTCACTGATATGTCAAGACCCAGCAAGTGGGTGGCAAATCTTCGAGCATGCCAGGTCATGACATTCGTGAACCAGATAGCAGAGATTGTTCATGGCGTCGTTGACGAGTGCTGGGGCGCCGTCAACAAGAACGACGGTGCGGCTTCTGGGTTTTTGTCCAAACTCAAAGCTTCAAGCTAGAGCTTTCAGTACTCAGAGCCAAGATAACAGTTCAAAGTCTTCTGCTGAGGGCTGAGGGTGTTGGGAAGCAGTCTCAGGCAGGTTTCGGGGCTTGCGGGGTGCACTTTGATTTGTTCGGGCGATTCTTTTCAAGAGCAGACACGAGCGGCCTTCGATTCGCTGGCTTCAATTTCGGGCAGGTTCTGTTGGTAATGATCGTGGCATTCACTGTCCCCGTTCAGCTCAAGGAGCTAAGATCGGGAAATCCGTAAGGCTGTCTCCATAACCATCGCCACCATCCATCTTCATCTTAGATGTTCTTCTTACTAGTATCAGTTTCAATGCCATCAGCAGCATCGTTGTCGCAACCAGATCCATCACAATCACCACCACGTTTAACCTCCTCCTCCTCCTCCTCCTCCTCCTCCTGCTCCTCCTCCTCATCGCCATCATCGTAATAACATCATCGTCATCATCACGCATCATCACGCATCATCACATCATCACATCATCACGTCATCACATCACCACATCACCACATCACCACATCACCACATCACCACATCACCATCCCCATCATCATTATCACATCATGCTCTCACATCATCATCATCGTCATCCATATCATGATGATGATGATCATCATCACTGTCATCATCATCATCATCACCATCATCGGATCTAGACACTCGAGTAAAACAGTTGAGCTCCTTTGGGACAGCGGCCCTTGGCCTGCAGGTGACAATTTCTTGGTCATTTGGAGACTGGGGGACTTGACTGCCAATGAGGTCCACCTCCGGCCGCCTGCACCAGCCTAGGGGCTTGGGACGTGAAGCATGACTGGCGATGCTGATGGCCGCCCCAAGAACTCGAGCACTTTGGACCTCCCGCAGCCACGGAAGCCAACTGCCAAGTCCCATTTCCTCGGCCTTTCACCAAAGAAGCAAAAGATGTGGAAGACCCTCGCGCCAAACAGCCTCCAGATGAAGTTGCCGGCCCCGCAGCCATTCAAATCAAAAGGCGCCCCCCTAAAGTGGGCGGTATGAGCATCGTACGATGGTATTTGGTGTGCCGCAATTGCAGACAGAGGCCACAGCCTTCTCTTGGACTGCAGCAACAAGCGGTCTTTGTTTCTTCGTGTAGCAGCGGGGCCTCGCGGAGACAGAACCCTCATTGCTTGCGATGCACATGCATTGTGGCACCTGCCTCAAAAGGTCGATACACGGTATCTGAGGATGTACGTAGTATGTAGAACACGATACCTGCCCCAACATATTCTCGTTCTTGTACTCAAGCATGACATAGGACGAGAAGACTCCAGCCAAGCAGCCAACTACCAGACTGAAGCGAACCATGCCGCGACTTCAGTCGAAGTGAGCGACAAAGTGCCCCACTGACATGGGTGGTGAAGCGGCTGGCAGAGTCTGGAAGAGCGAAATGTGGATTCTTGGAAGCTGATCCAGGTATCCAATGCACCTTCAGTCACTCGACCCGAACCGGCACGGTCCCTGGCTTCTTCAATCGGTTCAGGGCTCATTACCGGAACGTAATATCCGGTTAACGTAATGCCTCGAGAGGCAAAACGAAAATAGCAACAACCCCGAATGCGTCCTAAAGGAGAACAGCAACAGTAAGATCACAGCTCAACGACAGCGACAACAACAGCAACAGCAGCGACAGCAGCGACAGCAGGCAACAGCAGCAACAACAACAGCAACGGCAACACATGACAAGAATAACCATCAAGACCGTGGTCTCTACAGGATAGAAAAATCTGTGAACTCCTTTAGGCTGCCTTACAGCTTTTTGTATCGAAACAAGAATTCGGTGTCGTATCTTGCAGGGACGTCTCCGAAAGTCGAAACGCCGCGAACCCCTGCCTTCCAGGTGCCGGCGTTCTGACGATGTGCAGGCTCCACCCCTCTTGTGCTTATCTGCTTATGTGGGAGGGACGGGTGTGTTGTAGGGTTTAGTGGTCGTGCGATCAATCCAGGGTTACCGTATGCAGCGTTGCAGGCCACCGGAACGGAACATGGTGGTACTGAGTATTGTTAAGCCGCTGATTCTTAATTCGCACTTTAATAATGCCACCAGAGTTCTTTAAGCAGCCTAGATGGAGACCTGTTGCTTTTGCTTCCCCGTTCCACAGGGCGCCCCTTAAACGACTTAGGCCTAAGGAAGAGCAGGTAGTTGACGAAACATCGTCGGAGTTGCAGCTTGCGTCTTCGCGCTCAGATCCAACACCCTTTTTACGGTGATGATCTCTGGTGCAAGCCTTGTTTAACGGTGTGTATTGGATGGTTGCTTCTGCTTATTGTTCTTGCTGCGACAACACTGAGTACGAGTCGGTCGCTAATAACTCCTGCTCCTGTACTAGCCTGGAGTTTTTCTGATTGGGTTTCATTGTTTCCAAGTAGCCAAACTTCACGAATATGTCCACGGCTAGAGCGACATGGAGTAGTCAGTACTAGCGTGCTGCCTCGTATCAGTCGTACAGTAAGCAAGTGTTAGTAATACTTTTAGTAGCCGTCTTAGTTGTAGTCATGTTTGTAGCACCCACATTGTAGCAGACGCGGTCAAAGGAGCAGTAGCAGTAGCAATGCTTTCTGAATCATTGAGTTAACTCAGGGGTATGGAAATCCTGCGAGAGCATGTTGCCCGTGGGCCCAAACTTTCCGACAGGCTATGGATCCCGCAGTGCACTCAATTGTGGTCCTTTTGTGTCTTGCATCAATCGTAAGTGGAGGCACAGTGGCCGAACACTTTCACCTTCCGAGACAAGTGACTTTGTCCGTGTGTGCCAGCCGTTGGCTTCGAGGATGACTAGCTCTGCAGCATGAGTCATGCTGGTGATGAACCACAGCTCCCACCATGAACGGATGGTTTCGTATGTCAAGACGAAAGTCCATCAGGCATTCGAAGCGACCAACCTTCAACCCTCAGCCTCGGGTTCTTCGACACTCCAGGCCTGTAACACACGCACACCTCAGCACGACCACACCCTTAGCCTTACACTTGCAGGCTAGCAGTAGCGATGCGAGGCACTAGGGACGGCAACATCACAACGCGACAGAAAAGGGGTGACCCGAAGGTGATGCTCGGCTCCATTAGGCTTCAGTCTTCAAAAACTTCACACGGACAGAAAACGGTACTAGAGAGAATGCCGGCCTGCCATGATGGGCCATCGTTGCAGATGAGGCTGGTCCAGACCTGGTATTGCAAAGTCCGGAACATGTCTCACTCCAGAGAACTGTTCGTTTTTTATTCCATTCTTATCTGCGTCCCAGCGACGCCACTCGTGCCTGTGCCTTATGCCCTGAGCTCACTGGCCGGTACAACGTCTGGGCACCTTTCGCTCGGTGAGTGTTGTTCATCCTAAAGGCTTGATGTTGCTCGGTTTGAATCTGGGGGGTCATTGCCCTTGTTGTCGGCGTGCTGCTGCGATTTTTGCCACGGCTTCTCAGTTGGTGCTCACCTCCAACGACAGCCCCCGAAATCCTCAGTCCTGAGCCACTGAACTCAGAAACAGTTCGTGTTTCTGCAACGAACCACTGATTGAACGAGTGCTTCGCAGGTGTCAAATGTCCATGATGACTAGTCAGCCTCAACGGGATCGCCTTGTTCGCTTGTAGCCGACATTGTAGCCTGTGCAAAACAAGTACAACCTGTTCCCAAACCCTGAAGACGCAACGCCACTCAGGCGCCCGAGCGTGGCGTTGGTGCTGCTGACTGCGTTGACCTTCCCCTTGGCAGGGGACCCAAGAGAAGAGCTCGGAGTCTCCCCTTCCGGCGAAGCCCCAGCCTTCCAAGATTCAAGATTCTGGTTGCAGTCCGTCTGGTGACGTGGTTAGTTTGAGAAGCTGACCGTTTTTTCGGCGCTGTTGCGAGTGGCGTCTCGGGTCTGGGCGGGGCTTTGTGCTGATCCCTTCATGCCAACCCAACTGCCGAGAACAGCCACCGAAAGCAGTCCAGGCCGCAGAAAAAAAGCCCGAGGAAGGCGGCTTGATCGACCGAGTGGAGCTGGCCTTGGTCTCAGAGGGGTTTAGGCGCCCTTGGGGAGAGAGGGAGCGGGGACGGGGGCTTGCTGTAAGGTCTCGCGCACAAGGCACCGGAGATTAGGGTTGTGCGATAGTTATAGCCACAATAGTCATTCTTGCTATTTGCGCCTGAATCCTGATGCGGGTCCCCCAGAAGGGAAGCGAGTCCAACAAAGAAGAAGACAGAGACATAGTCGAGCCTTTAGCTCGTCCTCCTCACAGCCCCCGCCCCAGGCAACTGTCCCCGTCGCTTCGCCAGTAGCGACTGTCCAAAGCTTCAAGGTTTGGCCCATGGTGCTTATGCACCTTCCACTGCCTGTGGACAAAGGGGAGACTCAGAAAGACGCCCGGCACTGAGTCAACCGAGAAGCTGCTTAGACCCGGAAATCCTGAGCTGGGCTCGATGGTCGATGGTCTCAACGATGCAGGTTGTAGGTGTAGGACACATATACTTCAACGGTAGCCCTTCCGGATCAAAGCTCGGGCCTTGAATATACCAGCCTTGCTACAAAGGTGGATGCTCTGCTTCACGAGCTTGCCGACATCGGTGAAAAAGGCTTTCTCAGATACCTCGAGAAGGCCTACTTCCCCAAATTGGAAATCCCTTGTAGGGTGTAGGTTCGAAAATCAGACAGGTTTTGGATCTACTTTCCAAGAGTCCCTGCATGGCCGCAGATGCCACTGTGTTGCTCAAGCCCTTGGTGCGATAGTATCATAATGACGACTCTGACGACGATAATGGTGATGACAGTCACGACCACCAGTCGGACCATGGCGAGCAGGAGCAGGAGGAGGAAGGGAGGAAAAGGAGGTGAAGGAAGAGGAGTAATACAGTAACGATCGTCAAAGTGTATCTCTCTCCTTGGATGGGATTTCTCCTCGTAGCTGGCCGTGTTTACGCATGTCCTTTCTGTCCTGACCTTGGGCCTTGCCAACTACTCGGTGTTCATCGGCTGCGGGAGGTCCTTCCGCATGAGCTCGAAGTGGACGAAGCCTTTGCCAAAGAATTCCACGTCGCCGATGTGGCGCAGCTGCAAAGGGCTTGAGTCTACGGCCTGCCATCTTGAGGAGTTTAGTTTCCCACCCCCCAACCACCGTCCCCAACCCGATCCAACCCGACAATGACCAAGCTGCACATTTTTGAGGAGAGCCGATGGAACGACGGTTTCTTCAGGCCGGTGGGGATGCAGAGCTGCTGGAAGCATTCCTTTGCTTTGGATTCCCTGACCTTCAGGTGGCAGAAGCGAGTGTACTCCAGGCTTTCGAAGATTCGAGCCTCACCTGCATCACTATCATCACCAGAGGCTGTTCGCGAGGCGAGGCGAGTCCAGGGAATGAGTTGGCGTGAAGCCAGGAATCGAGGAGATTCTTTGGGATGGAAAACCCGTCCCAGCTCTCCCGGGTGTGTCTTGCCTGCGATATGAAGGAAACCTTCGCCGAATGTTTGTCCCTTGCAAAGTCAACTCCAAGCTGTCAGGTTAGCTATCGATGGGCGTCTCGGCTGCTTGCTTTGGTGCCCTAAAGTCTTCCGCAGAGCCCTGCAGCTGCACATCGCATACATCGCCGATTCCCGAGGATGAGCTCCACAAGTTTCAGGGGATGAAGAGGCCCCGGCATAAGGGCCTCGTTGCGACTATCGACTGAAGCCGCAGATCAAGTTTCGTCTCGGGCATCGGCATGTTCTCTTGCAGGGTCATGACGAAGATCTTCGGGCAAGTGGCTGCTTGATCTGCTTGGATACTATAACGGCCTTAGTAGTTAGAACAGGGTTTTGTGGCCGATTGCACTATAAGTATCCAAAATAGTCCAAAATAGTATAGGTAATTATTAAGGCCCCTATATTAGAGTGTTGCTCCATCTGCCGAGTGTTCTGGCCCTGAACAGGCTGCTTACAAGAAGGCTTCGGATGCGACGCTGGAGGCGAGCGACAGCAGGCTCCAGCCTTCTTACAATGTCTCACACCCGTTTGCCTGCATTCACCAGATGCCAGGAAAGGACGATTCATTCCGTGGGTCTCGAGCTTACAGTAACTTACAGATTTAATCATGGATCCCGGCCAACTCGGTCGCTAGGACTCAAACTCGCAGAGCTCGTCGTCGAGAGGTGCTGAGAGTATACAGAGCAAAGTAAGAAGATCTTCTCTCCCCCGAGGCTGCGCTTGAGCTCCAAGGTCGAAGTTTACCGGCCCCGCGAGTTCCACCATCCGCACACCCACACCGGGTCGCCCATCGTGGGTACCCTGGTGCTGAGGCCCAGAATCCCGAAGTCTCATCAGGTGGCAGACAGTATTGAGCGCAGGTGCGGAAAGCAGAAGCAGCGGTTGGTCTTCGAGGATCCGAGGGGCATCAACCCTCCCTTCGGGCGCAAGCACAACGTCGCTGCTCTTCCGCAAGCTGTTGAGGTTCCTCAGTGCGATCGTGATGTGCGCGAGTGTCCAGCAGCCCTTCTCCCGCCGACTTTCCCCTGCAAAGCCGCACAACACATGAGCATCAAGGATGTACAAGAAGGTGATCTGCTGCTTGTCTGCAGAAGATGAGGCGGTATTGTCTGGTGAAGGCGGTCGCTTCCCGAAGCCGAGGCTTCTTTTTCCTTCATGGGCGTCGCACTTCGTTGACCCTAACAGGGGAAACGAGACGCACGTTTTCCTGAGCTTCGCAATTCAGGATCCTTGCCCGCAGAAGAGGGCCTGTAAGGCCACAGCATGACACTGCGTGCCCGAGGGACACGGAGGGCCTCAAGACTTTGACTGGGAGGATGATGGTACAGGCGCACGGGTACTGAAGGGTCAGTGTTGTAGGCAGAGCCAACACGAGAGGTGCCATCGTGAAGAAGATGGACCGGAGAATTCGAGCGGCTCTGCCAGCGCTGATCGCTGTGATGTACCATGATCTCCGAGCTGCACACTGAGGCAAAGGCGAAGAAGGGGACCACCGCACCACCCAGAAAAGAGCGAAGTGAGCTGTAGACTAGTAGAGTACACTGCAGTGCTCCCGCAGTTTCCGAAGACCTCTGGGGTACCAGAACTTGGAGGCCCAGTGGTTCTGTGCTGGTAGTCGGCTTCCCCGAATGATATTGGTGGGTGTCGGGTGTCGGGTTCTGGCCTGCCGGACCCGTCCGTTTCCAAGTTCCACTGCTTCAGAGCGGAGCAGGTTTCGGACCCGGAGCTGAGCGCCAGCCTGGCAAAAGGAGAAGCTGCTCCCGAAAATGCCTGGCCTCATTCGTGCAAGACGCGGATCCGGCTCCTGAGGTTGTGGCTTCTGTCAGGAGTCCGCTGCAGTGTGCTGGCGACCTAGCGAGCTGCCGCAACATGACTGGGTACTAAGGGGTGGATGAGGGTCTCAGCCTTTGAAGTTGCAGGCGCCAGGTCTCAGGTCTTCCGCTGAAAAGAGTGTTGGCTCCGGTAGTGTAGCGCAACTTGCACAAAGAGAGCGAGTGGGGCTCGGGGCTCTTCAGGCTCGACTGCGACATGGAGCTGCTTTTGACGCTGCAGCGGCAGGTGGCTCCTGGCTTCTGGTGTGGGGCATGTCCATATGGTGGGGGCATGGCTCACATGCTGGGATGCGATGGACCCTTCATGGGCCCTTTTAAGCCCCTGCCGATCTCCGCACACTTCCGAACTCTCCCATCTTGAGGAAGCGCCCAATCCCTTCTGCCTACGAGGTGGAGCCTGCTGTCTCAGAGATAGCAGAGATCCACTTCAACTTTACCTCTGGCAGACAGCAGGAGGCTGGTAAGCGGATGCAAGCGGAAGCGGTGTTGACAGCTGTCGTTTGCCATGCTTGGCGGAAGGTTATCGAGCGCATGACGGTCTTCCAGGTGAACCAACTATGCCTTCCACTCGGTGCTCGAAGCAATCCCTGAAATCTGATCAATCGGCACAAACCAAGAAGTCCTCCACTTGGATTCTTTTGCTCAGCAAACGCGAGTCCACAGGGTGGAGGTGTCACAGGATTTCGAGAAATGTCAAGGGCGTTCTCTGCCTGCTGGGGAAATACCAGAGTGGTCGAGCAAAGCATACCGGCAACCGCAAGACAAGAGACTGCAGCAGACTGTGATCACTGTCAAACGCAGCGAGAACCATGCGCGATGATGTGCCATGCAGGATGGTACAGGATGTTCTCATGCCCCTTCATGCAGTATTCGTCTCAGCTTTGATCTGTCAGCCCAGGCAAAAGCGCAACTAGTGTGCTGGAGCCAGTGCCTCAGAGCTTTCCGGTGAATCAGGATTGACAGACAGGTTCGAGAGACATACACGCTCCCAAGTATCCCTAAGCACGTTCCGCTGAGACTCCGATTCTCAGGCCCAAGCTTCTCACTGAACGAAGCTGAACTCGAGGTCCCTGCGGCTGACCATGGGCTCCCTCGTGTGTCCTGCTCGCGGGAGACTTATCGGGGGCAGGTGCCACAAGCTGCAGTTCGCAGAAGCGAAAGAGCATGAGAGCGCAAGAGTCGAATCGATGCGCCTTCGCTTTATCGGGGGGCTTGGATCCAATGGCTGCAACCGATGTGCACTGGTTTCTTCCGAGCCGCTCAGATTTTGATGATGGCTCCGGACAAAGAAGCTCCTCGGAGTTGCCAGAGTCTTGCCGGCATGTTCTACGCTGCATTCGCAGCATTTTAGTCGGAGATTTGCCTGCCAGGACACTCTTTGCAGGAAAGGGCTGCCGCAATCCCTTGGGCATTAAGCCTCCACGTGGTGTGACGGTGAGTACCGGTGCTTTTCATGTCAAGCACAGCTCTTTGGGACTTCGGCCAGGCATCTCAAACCATCGAAGTTCGTCCAACAATTCTTCTCCGACGTTCGGCAGCTGGCAAGGCCTTTTGCATGCAACTACTTTCCACAATAAGTACCATGACAGCAGTGTTCGGTATCCCATGAGAAGTTTGGCCATGATCATCATGTGACTTCTGAATTCCCATCCCAAGGGCAGGTGGTTGAGAAAATTCTAGCCCGACAACTTGCGTACTCTTACAGGCCTGTCGGTTAGGATGGAGGGTTTAGTTTGGGGTTTGGCAGACCTTCTGCAGGGAGTTGTTTGCAAAAACTGAAAGGACACCAGCACCAGCCCATATTGGTGCAACATTAAGCATCCTATGTAGCTCGGAGGCAAGGCGGGGGACCACTTTCGTGTGGACTTACCTGTGGTTAGTAGGGAATGGAGGAATGGGGTACAATTATAACTACTATTACTACCACTCTTCCATTCCCTACTAACCAAAGGTAAGTGGATGGAAGGAGCATGGCGAGTCTTCGTCCCAGCATTTGCCTGGTAGGAGTGGAACTACTGAGATCTACACCCCCGAGGTGGTGGCGCAAGCCGTGTCCTCAAGCCAGAAAAGCCAATTAGACTCGTGTTTGTGGTTTTCCCAACGGATCCAAGCGGTATGGTACATACTTTGGGGGCCAAAATACCTACTATAATGGTACTTCGACCCTTTGGGTTTGGGATAGGGCATGGCGGGCAGAGCTTGGTTTCTCAACAACCAGCCCCAAACTGCAGGCCCTGCACGCCCAGCAAACCTTCTGAAAGCAGCCCCCCCCCCCCCCACACCTTGAGCTCCAACAGCAACAGTGCTTAGTTTTCTGGCTCCAAGCCCTAAGGCCCTAAGGTCGACTGAAGCCCCCAAAAGATACGCTTGAAACGATCCGCAGAAAGTCTCTCTTACAGGACTTATACAGCGTCAGCCCCCATATCACAGCTCTGATGAGACCTTTCAAGCCCAGTCTCCGAGATCGAAGCTTCTTGGCACAGCTCGGCATTGGAGTTCCTGAACTTGGCGCAGCGCTGGGGGCTTTGCTGTTTTTGTTTGTGTCATTTTGGGGCTTGGGGGTGTAGGATGTGGGACCTGGGAGTTTGGGATTTATACCCGGTGCTTCGGGACTGGGACTGGGGCTGAAGAGATGGATGATGATGGATAGGCAGTGTTGAAATGTGTTGAAGTTTGCAGCAGATTTTTGTGCACCCAGCCTGAAGGAAGCGCGCTTTGTGCTCTGAGGCCTGGAAGCCTGGGTGGTGGAATCCCGACGGAGTGGGGGACGCATGCAGGCAGAGATGCGCTCGCCTCTTCGGGTGAAGACTCGCTCTTCTGTCACCCTTTGGCGGTCCGTGCTCAAGCCAGGCCTCTACCTTCACGTCGGTCGAGACCCTTGTCCGGTGCCTGGCGCAGGGCTCCGAGCTTCTGGACAGTGTACAAAGCGAGGTCGAGCGGTTCATGAACATGGCCCTCGACTTTGTGCGATCTTTGGCAGAGGAGCCCGCAGACAGAGACCATTGAATAGACGCTGCTTGTGCGACATCAAAGCTGCAACATCACCACTTCTGACACTGCCGCCGCCGCCGCCGCCGCTGCCGCTGCCGCTGCTGCTGCCGCTGCCGCTGCCGCTGCCGCTGCCGCTGCCGCTGCCGCTGCCGCCGCGCCGCTGCCGCTGCCGCTGCCCGCTGCCGCTGCCGCTGCCGCTGCCGCTGCCGCTGCCGCCGCCGATGCCGCCGCCGCTGCTTCTGCCGCCGCCGCTGCGCCGCCGCGCTGCTTCTGCCGGCTGCCGCTGCCGCTGCCGCCGCGGCCGCGGCCGCGGCCGCGCCGCGGGGCCGCTGCCGCTGCCGCTGCCGGCTGGCCGCTGCCGCTGCCGCTGCCGCTGCCGCTGCCAGCTGCTGCTGCTGCTGCCGCTGCTGCTGCTGCTGCTGCTGTTTTTCCTCTCCTGCGGTTGCTGCTGTAATTGATTCCAGTCGCACTCTCAATCTGCTACCACCACCGAAGTTTCCTTCACCAGCATGAGCACTTCACAACCACCATTTGTAACAGTGACATCGACTCCGGTGGCGGCGGAGACGACGACGTTGGCCCCGACCACGCCGGCCATTGCTGTTGCTGCTGTTGCTAATGCTGCTGCGCGACAGGCTCTGTGTGTCCTGGAGCATGGGCACTGGGACTGTTACAAGGAAGTGCAGCTTGACGCATCGGCATGTTCACTACAGCCGCCAGCTTCCACTCCACACATCTCCGCCCAATCGTGCCGGTGAAAGCATCCTGTTTTCTCATTGTCTTCACGTGTTGTAGCATTGCTGCCTCGAGGACATGGGCCTCATGTTCCGGGCACCCAATTACGTTCCACGCGAGCTTACACCAGCAGGCGTGCTTGGTAGTAAGCAGAAAGCAGTCTGTTGCTGACGTGATCTGCAGTATGGCCGAGGCGATCGTGTTGTGTCTGCCGCGGTCAGGAGCTTCCGACACAGACGAGCATCTGGCAGAGAACTCGCTCTGGACTGCCTCGGGCTCAATTATTTCTCGTTCTCGGGTGTGCGACCACCAGAAGCAGATGCAGAAGCACTGAGCAACTTCCCCGGCTTGAAGCCCTGTGAAGGAAATTCTCGATTCCCACTCCCATCATTTCGATTCGTATAGAATCTACCCCTTTAAGAGCTGAGAGGTTTTCTTCAAGAGCAGAGGATCAGCTTGTCATTGTGAGCTCAGGTAGACGTTTTCAGGGACTCTGTCGATGGATTGGCTCTGAAGCCCGAGTTCCTGAACATGCTGCCGGACTTGCACCCCAGAGGCTGTCGTTTGGTTTCGGTCCAGGATGTCAAAGACTCGGGTGCATTCACATCCCCGCTCAAGATCTGCAGTTTTAAGTTGGGCTTCCTAGATGCCTCTACTCGAGATGAGGCTGCTCCAGATGCCAGCTCCTCTTGCTCATGCGCGCTGGTCCTGGCATCTCCGACCCATGTCGTCGTCTCAAATTCACTTCCCCGACCCTCAGGCCTCTACATCCCGACTTCAAAGTGTGCGAGTCCCTTCCTGAAGTCACCTCAGCCACGACCCGAGCGTTCTTTTTCTTGTCTCGGCCGCCCAAACCAAGGCAAGACACCAGCTGCCAAGCTGAGGTTCCACTTGGAACATCCACGGAGTTTCTGGATGAAAAAGGAGGCCATGCAAGGGACAATGCTGATCGGGTCGATGGGGTCTGCTTGTTGAGCATGCCGGTAGTGCTGAGCGGATGTTGGCGTTGCCGCAGGCTGGGCGCACAGCCGGGGGCTCAGTGGCGCTCGACATCATGCCTGGGTTTGGCAACAGTGCTAGCTTCAGGGGTCTTATCTACATGTTCCGATCACAGATCAGGTGTGGCAGATGCTGCAGATTCCTGAGAGATGGAAAGTTGCAAAAGTCGACGGCCCAGGAGATGTAACTGGCGCCCACCGACGCGACGCATCACCCCTGCAGTGGCTCTCAACACGTTTGTTGACAGCCAGCTCCCAGAAGGGCTTTGTCTCAGCACGTTTGTTGACAGCCAGCTCCCAGAAGGGCTTTGCATCCCAACCCCTTCGGGCAAATCACAGAGCAGGCGTCGCAAGCAAAACTGCCAGGTTGTTGCAAGCGGCTGCCAGCCGGGGCACCCGATTGTCCAACCTCTTCATCTCGGTGCAGGCCTGACCCACACATCATGCGAGTTGGGTCTGTCTGTTGTTATTGATTTGATGGGCATGTCGAGCTTCTCTCCTTTGATGCACTCACAGGTGTCGCCATACCTCCTTACACCGCCGCCACCCCAGCTGCGGTTTGTGCGCCGGCCCGGAGTAGTACAAGCACAGACCAAGCTGTTGGTTTGCCGCAGAACCTTGCGCAGGACGCCCTACTGCGGTGCCACTCTTACCCTGTATGCCGGAGCCTTGTGAAAAGTGAGCGTGCGCCTGAGGTGCTTGAACACTTGAATGCTTCAGGATCCCAGCCATTGTTTGGTGGAGCGCAAATGGGCTGGCTACTTCTTCCATCTGAGACGTGGCAGCATGGTCGAGCGTTGCCGAAGTCAAAGCCTGTAAGTGCAGAGGGTAAACCCACGTACCAGATGGGCATGCCTTCAGGAACCCGATGCCACCCTTCAACGTCTCTGTGGTCGTGGGCTTAGTTGGTTTGGGGTGTTTCGGAAATTGATTGTCGCTGCCATTCGGTACCGCTACCGCCACCAACAGAACTACCACCCCTGCCACCACCATGCTAAAGCTTCAGGCGTCATGATTCTGAGCCTTAAGCCCTACCCAAATCCTGACGGCCTGAGAACCCTTGAATCGTTCCCCATGCTGAAGCACAGAACTCTAGAATGGAAGGGCGAAAGTTATTCCTAATCCTTCAAGCAACAGTGCGAAGACATAGTTCAGAGTCCTGATTCCTTGGACTGTTCTGATGCATCACTGGTGATTCTTGCTGATGGCACTGACAGCTGATAGCAGGTACGGGCTTGGCCGCAAGAGCCATCAGTCGTAGCTACAACTACCGTAGTCCCGCTCTCTCTCTCTCTCTCTATATAATATTCTGATATAATATAATATAATATTATATATTATATTATATTTTATTATATTATATTATAATATTTTATATTATATTATATTACATGATGTTACATTATATTATATTATATTATATTCTATTATATTATATTATATATTGTTATGTTATGTTATATTATATAATATAATATTATCTTATATTATATTATATTTTATCATATAATATAATATAATATAATATAATATAATATAATATAGTATAATATAATATAATATAGTATAATGTAATATTATATCATCTTATATTATCTTATATTATATATTGTACTATATTATGTTATATTATATATATAATATAATATAATATAATATAATATAATATAATATAATATAATATTATATTTTATTATATTATATTACATTATATTATATTATATTATGCTATATTATATTATATTATATTATATTATATTATTTTATGTTATATTATATTATATTGTGTTATATTATATTATATTATATTATATCATATTATATTATATTATATTGTATTATGTTTTATTATATATATATTATATTATATTATATTTTATTCTATTCTATTCTATTCTATTTTATTCTATTATATTATATTATATTATATTATATTATATTCGATTAGATGATATTATAATATCTTATATTGTATTGTATCTTTTTATATTGTATTATATTATATTATATTATATTATATTATATTATATTATATCACCTTCGAAGGTCTACGTAGGTCGGCCGCTGGGGCCGGGTTCCGACCTCCCGAGCTTCGAAGTTCACCATATCCCTCTGCCGGGGCCCCGGCAGCTCGACTTGAGAATTGGGGCTTTGGGGTTAAGGCTTTGGGCTTTGGGGTGTTGGGAGACGACTGGATTTGTTCGGTTTTGGCTGGTGTCGCTTGTCCGCGGTTTTTGTTCTCAGCATGGTGTTCCCTTTATCGACTTTCTGCCTGGAACTTGGCGGTGATGATTTGGCTTTCTGTTTCAAGTTGCCTTCATGGTTTTGATAGAGAGAGAGTGACCACTACTGCGACTTGCACGACCGTGATGCATGATGATGCCAGGGTCAAGGGCAGAGACTCCGATTTGGATATGATGTGTTGTTTCATAATGATAAAGGTGGCTATGGCGGCGATGATGATGATATTGATGATGAAGGATGATGGTGAGGCTTGTGACGAGTGTGATGACGATGACGAGGATGATATCATGCCGACGGTGATGCTGATAGCAGGAACCAGATGTGGTGTTGCTGAATAATATGTTGGTGACCCTAGTTGCAAGGATGATGGTGGCAAAACACCAGCATTCCTGCCAACGATGTTGAAAGACCACGAGGAGTACTACGCCGCCGGCGATGACCGTGCCCATGACCGCGACGCTGATGGTGATGATGACGGTGATGATGATGATGGTCGTGGTCATGGTCGCATGATGATGGTGGTGGCGATGATGATCGCGGTGATGATGAGGGTGATGCCTGTGCTGATGACTCTGGAAACCATGATTGTGAGGACGATGGTGATGACCATGATGATGATAACGACGTTATTGTTGTTGATCACGATGATGGTCTTGATGAGCATAATTACGGTAATAGGAAAGAAGATGACATTGTTGTTGGGGATGAAGACTTTTACGATCGAGATCAGATTTGCATTGGAACCCGCAGTCGTGCTAGCCAATGCTGCCAGCCATTCAAGAGCCAATCGTTTTCACGAAGATCATCCGTCATTACGCGCGTTCGAGGCCATCCATGGACACCCAGTGGAACAGCCTCGTGCAATCCTCGGTCCGCAGGGTTGGGTTGAATACCGGCTCCATTTCCAGCCGAATCAAGGTCTCTCTGGCGGTACAGGCAAAGGTGGTACTGTCCAGGCATGTTGATGTCTTTGCCGCTGTTCTCGTTGCAACTGGGCCACAGCCAGCCTGCTTGAATGCAATTGCCGAAGCTGCTCCGACGAATTCACGTAGGAAAAGTACAGCCAGTGAGTCAACAACACGACGTTTCTGTTCCGGATATCTAAGCCAGGCATCTGTTTGCTGAGCTGTAGGCCGAGGCATAGCTATCCTAGCTGGAGACATGGACGATGCAGATGTTCCATCGCTATCGCTGGAGACCAAAATACTGCTTCAGAAATTGAAAATATGGGATAAGATCGCCGCTGGAAATTTACACAGCATCACCCTTACAGATGTGCAGGCCGTGTTCGACATCTTGGATCCTGGTGAGAAGGGTTATATAACTCGGAGCGAATGCTTCGCTCTAACACAAGTGCAAAATGTGAAGGTGTCGCAGCAGTACTTGCAAGATCTATGCGAGGACGCGGACAAGGACAACAGCGGCACCGTGTCTGCCGACGAGTTCTTGAAAGCGCTCACTACTGGACAAGTGGCATTCAACTTCCTGAAAGAGTCCTTGGGCAAGGGACCCAAAGAAATGAAGCAGAATGAATGTGATCGATCAGATCTGTTGGCTTGGTTGAAGGAGGAGTATGAGACTATGAGCGCACTGTACTCGATGCCAACAGTCTTTTTCCTGCTCTTCTCGTATATCTATTTTATCACAACGCACGTTGACACAACCAGTGCCTGGAGGACTGGTAACACGCTCTTTAACAACCTAGACACGCTGTGGAAGATCACCAAGGTGGCCAACACAGCCGGCGCGAAAACTCACATGGAATGGACCTCCACTCATTGGCTGCCCAAGTACTTTCGGCAAGATCTCATTTCGGACCCTTTTCCCGGGCGGGTTGCGGTTTACAATCAAATCATCGGCGGCCCGAGGCTCCACAAGGAGTTCCTGCAGGAAGGCCCATGTGTTGCCAGCGAGCAGAACGCCTTTCTCTATAACTCCCTATCAGGAACCTGCGATCGCCATGGTGCCAAAACAGACGAAGACATTGTGCTGCCGTATCACTTGGCCATTGGCCTGCATCAAAACACCATCCGGAATCTTACGGAGACGTTTTGGTTTGACCACAAGACGGAGCTCTTGGAGTATCAAACTCTCTTTTACAATGCCCATCAAAACTTGGTCACCTTTGAGCGACTCCAGTGGAATGCACAGACCGATGGATACATTCAGCTGTATTTTCGGTTCGAGTCTTGGCTTGCAGAGCCCTACAAGGATCCATGGGCTGCGATTCCCGACGTTCTCTTCGTGGTGCTTCTGCTGCGCATTGCTCATGTGGAGGCCAAGGAGCTGCTCCCCGCAATCGCAGGAGGCATTGATGGGATTCGCGACTACCTCGGTTTCTGGAACGTGGTGGACTGGATGGCGATTTTGCTCGGCCTCTTCAATGTCGGCATGTGGTTCTATGTCCTGGTTCAGATGTCTGTGCGCCTTCCAGCGGCGATTGCCAAAATTCCGCAAGCCGCACTGGATGAGAGAGTGCTGCGGAACACCACCTATCTCGGCATAGAAGAACTTTCAGAGGTTGTGAGTCCTTCCGATCTCAACTTCAACATCAACCAGATGTTCGTCATTGCCAGAGAAGTGTATGACTGGCACTTGCTCTTGAGAGCATGCTTGTTCGGATACTTCTTTATTCTGATTTTGAAGGTCTTCAAGTCCTTCCAAGCGAATCCTCGGTTGGATGTTGTGGTGCAAACTATTGTGCACTGCTCTGTGAATGTGGCGCACTTTGCCATCGTCTTCTTTGCTATCTTCTGCAGCTATGCCTTTGCAGGGCACTTTCTTTTGGGACACAAGATCCGTGGATGGAGCACGATGCTGGGTTCCCTTTTCAATTGCTGGAGTTCCAGCCTAAACGCCGACATGGTCCAGGATTTCTCCATTCCAGTTCAGGTGGTGTGCTTTGTGTGGACACTTACCTACCAGGTGCTGGTGCAGCAGGTCATGCTGAACATGCTGTACTGCATTGTGTTCGATTCTTACTACTCCATCAAGGGTGCAGCAGGAAAGCCACTGACCTTATACCAGCAAATACAGGGTGCGATTGCCACTGCACGTGAAACCCGTGGATTTGTTGAGATGTGGATCTTGATTGTGCAAATGGAAGATGACGACTTTCCCGCACACCCAGCAGAAGTTGTCACCGTCAGATCATTGAAGCGTGCCTTCGAAAGATATGGCATGTCTCGTGTCAATGCCGAGTACTTGGTGAAGCAGGCCGCTGAGTACGTGAAGGAGCAGACGAAGCAAGTGGACATCACTTTGTCAGATGCCATCAGAGTGACGGGACATATCCAGAACACGATGCTCAAGAACTTGGACTTGGCGGAGGATTCGTTGGAAATGATCAAAACGGAAGCCCGCAACAAGGAGGCGGCTGAGAAGCAAAAGCAGCGATCTGCTTTCGTATCCAACAACATGAGTGAAATGCCGGGTTTTGATGCAAAGCAAGGCGTGGCCATGTCGGAGAGCCAGTGGGGGGTCTCAGACGAAGTCTGCGACTCCGTGGAAGTTACTCTTCAAAACATCTCCAGCATGCTCGATGCATCTCGCCAGGACCAGACGGATCTGGCAGGAGATGTGAACACTGCTTTGCAGCAGATTTGGAGAGAAGAGGACAAGAGATACAAGGACTTGGATATCCTGTTGCACGACCTGGAGAATGGCCTTCAAGCAGTCGAGCGGAGCATCGGAACCATGGGGGTATCCTTCAGTGGAACCAACTTCCAGCAGCTCGCTTCGGTGCCAGAACGACTGGATGATCCAGAGCTAATGCAACTGCTGTGCTCAGGAGAGGAGAAGGGGGGCGCTTGTGTGGCACGCTTAGACCGGAAGCTAAGCGATCTGAAGCAGCAGATGCATGATCTCAGCGGCAAAGCCAGCGAAACAGCCGAGCTGCAGCAACTTTTCTGGAAACTCGAGGTCCAGCTGCGCAAGCTACATGACGGCAAGGGCGTAATCCCCATGGAGTGCTTTATCCGGGAGCAGCCGAAGAATGAGGGTCGCAATAACAATGCCCGGCCTGATTCCAGAGAAGACGAGGATTGAGGTCTAGACTGAAGCAAGCTCTCCGTTTCGTGGATGTGTTCATCCAGGCCTCAAAGTTCTTCATTCTATTTTCGTGTTCGATAATGTCTCTGCAGCACTGCCCAGCGCTGCCCAGCGTGGAGAGAAGATCTCACCCGAATCAGGCAAGCCGTGGAACCTCGTGCTGCCCCTTTCACCCCTCCAGTGCCCGATTGCGACTCAACGAGAGGTCGCAAAACCCGCCCTCGTCACAGCAAGCAGGCATGAGTTTACATAGTGGTTAAGGCGGCAGGTTTTTAGTGAAAGCAAGTTGTAATCAGAAACCAAGTACAAGTAGCAAGCGTGTGCAGGCGGATAGGTCACACGTGGTGTTTTGGTGTTTTGTGCTTGTCCATGTATCTGCATGTATAAACAGATACTCCTCATCCGCATACCTCTCCGACTCTGCTTCTCCCCATGCATGTACCTTCGCTGAAGTTTGGTGCGAGTATACTAAAGTGCAAAACATGTAAGCAGGCATACAGACGGACATACGCACAGATGGGTAAGTAGATAACTCTACACCTGGGGAGCCAGCGATTTGTGTTACCTGTGTAACCAGCCTGGCTAGCAACCTGTGTGTCGGTCTACTGATGTAGTCATGGTGTTGTCTGTGAGTGGTTGTGTATATATGTATGGTTTCATGTATTGAGGTCTGTTTGTCTGTCCGTCCGGTCGTATGTATCTTTGCATGTGCGTGTGTGTGTACATAGGTATGAATGTACATGGAAATGTAGGTATGCATGTACGTTATGTATGAAAGAGTTTGCGCATGCATACATATATGTGCGCATTTATGTATGCATGTGTGTGCGTAGGTATGTATGCGTGTTTGCATCTATAAAAATGAATATGGAAACAAGGGTGTGCGTATTTGCGCATGCAGTCGTCCGAGTACTGTGCGTCCCTCTCTCTCTCTCTCTATATATATATATATATATAATATGTGTATATATATATATATATACCTCTCTCTCTCTCTCTCTCCCCTCTGAATTCTTTCAGTCGTTCATTCATTCATTCTTTCTTTCTCTTTTTCTCTCTGGGCTTACATGTAGGCAGGCTATCTGTTTCAGGAACATTTGCAAGTACCTGGCATCTGATTAGGCCGGCAGACAGGCACAGACTGACACCAAACCTCAATGCAAAGCGTTATGCAAATCGATGCAACTTGTAAGTGTAGAGACGTAGGCGCATGGTCGCCGAAAAGGTGAAGCAAGAGATACGGCCTGTGCCTACATACGCTCGCGTAAGCACTCTGTGCATGTGTGCATATATGCATACATGTATATCTACACAGACATTGAGTTAGATGAGAATAGAGACTGCCCCACACGCACACACAGATGGAGCTTGTCAGCACACTTACATGATGAGTTTCATTCTTCCTACCACAGCTTAATGTTTCTTTACGCATACGGAAACTGCATACTGGTTCAGCCATGGTCGGGTATGTGTTGTACACTAAGCCCTGAACCCGAAGCTCCCACACATCGACGCTTGACTTATTCTGCCGCAGCATCGGTCCGTGAGAGGAAGTGGCCGCTGCAAGACTTGACAAGCAATGAGTTCGGTCAGAAGTCTCAGTGCCACCCCAGCCAAGCGCACTCAAGAGCTGCATACTTGCGGGTCATGATGTAGAAGATTATGTATGTGTTGTTGCGACATTTCATGTATGATTCAGTGATGCATCACTAACTGCAACTCCACAATGCCCGCGCAGCAACCCTCTCTTCAGTAGACTCCAAGGTCGCGAAATAAAATACCAAGCCTTAAGCGGTTCCTTAGCTCAA